AAGGGTTCTGACTGCTGAGGTAGCAGGGTGTGCAGAGCAAGTTTAGATGCTTCTGTGGCCTGATACACGGTGGAGGTTGATACCCCCAGAAAACTGAGACATATATGAACAGCAGCTATAAATCCTGTGTCCCATGCTGTGTCCAGCTTCTGGACACTTGTGCATCCTTGCCTGTCTCCACATCCTTCAGGGTCCAGCTCACATGCCACCTCTGATTCCCCCGCATGGCATGTTCAACTGACAGGTGTCACTGAACACTCCTGGGAGGCCCACGAGAAGAAGTGGAATAGTCCTGCCCACGGGACTAGCCTGGCAAAGGAGGACAGGCTAACTCAGTGTTGCCTCACAGTGTGCCCAGGGCACTCTGGGAGCCCAGGCATCTGACTCAGTGGGTGGGACAGAGTGGAGCTGCAAGCACTTCTCAGAGGGGACAGCTCCAACTGGGTTTTGAAGGCTGAGTAGGAGTTGGTGGCAAGGATGAAGGGATAGGCTCTGCTGTGGGAGCTCAGGCCTGAGAGTACGGTGATACTGGTGCGTGCTGGCGGGCAGAGCGGATGGAGCACAGATGAGAGTGCTGGGGGCAGTGGCCAAAGAGGGAGAGCTGGGCCTTCCTTTTTTTTTTTAACTTATTATTGGTGAATGTATTATAGATGTTCCTCCTTTTCCCCCTATTGACCCCTTCTTCCCTGCACAACGCCCCCCCCCCCCGCCTTTCCCCACACTGTTGTCTGTGTCCATTGGTTATGCGTATATGCATATTAGTTATTTGGTTTATTTCTTCCCGTCCCCTAACTCCCCTTCCCTTTGAGGTTTTTCAGTCTAACAACAACTTTGTACTTCTTAATCCCTTCACCTTTTTCACCCATTCCCCCAAACCCCCTTTCATCTGGCAACCAACAAAATGTTCTCTGTATCTATGAGAATGTTTCTGTTCTGCTTGTTCATTTTGTTTGTAGATTCAATTGTCGATAGATATGTATTCATTGCCATTTTGTTTGTTCATATTTTTTATCTTCTTTTTCTTTAAGAAGACCCTTCAACATTTCATATAACACTGGTTTGGTGGTGATGAACTCCTTTAGTTTTTTTTTTTGTCTGGGAAACTCTTGATATGTTCATTGATTCTAAATGATAGCTTTGCAGAATAGAGTAATCTTGGCTGTAGGTCCTTGCTTTTCATCACTCTGAATATTTCTTGCCACTCTTTTCTGGCCTGCAAAGTTTCTTTTGAGAAATCAGCTGACAGTCTTATGGGAACTCCCTTGCAGGTAACTAACTGCTTTTTTCTTGCTGCTTTTAAGATTCTCTTTTTGTCTTGAACCTTTTGCATTTTGATGATGATGTGTCTTGGTGTGGGCCTCTTGGGGTTCATCTTGTTTGGGACTCTCTGTGCTTCCTGGACTTGTATGTCTGTTTCCTTCACCAAGGTAGGAAAGTTTTCTGTCATTATTGTTTCAAGTAGTTTTTCAATTTTTTATTCTCTCTTCTCCTTCTGGCATCCCTGTGATGTGAATGTTGGCACGCTTGATGTTATCTTAGAGGCTTCTTACCCTATCTTCATTTTTTTGGATTCTTTTTCTTTTTGCTGTTCTGATTGTTTTTTGCTTCCTCATATTCTAAATAGATGGTTTGCTTCTTGGCCTTACCTACTCTACTATTGAATCTCTGTAAATTATTCTTTATTTCAATTAGTGCCTCCTTCATTTCTGACTGGTCCTTTTTTATGCTCTTGAGGCCCTTACTAAGTTCACTGAAGTTCTCACTAAGTTCATTGAGCATCCTTATAAACAGTGTTTTGAACTCTGCATCTGTTAGATTGCTTATCTCCATTTTGTTTATTTATTTTCCTGAAGGTTAGTTCTCTTTTTTTTATTTGAGACATGTTTCCTTGTCTCCTCATTTTGTCTGCCTCCCGGTGTGTGTTTCTATGTATTAGGTAGAGTTGCTATGTCCCTGAGCTTCCTAGGGTGGCCTGTTGTGGTAGGTGTCATGTAGGGTCCAGTGGCACAGCCTCCCTCTCCTCCCAGGTGGGCCCTTGAGGTGCACACCTTGTGTGGACTTTACACCCTTTTGTTGTAATTGAGTCTTAATTTCTGTTGGCACGTCAATGGGAGGGATTTACTCAGGCTGATCAGCTGCAAGGACTGGCTGTGCCCACTGACCACTGACTTCTGACTCTCTTGGAGGATCAGCTGTGCAGGTGCCCACCACACAGAGCAAGACTTACTTCAGCAGGGCTCTGGTACCCACTGAGTTCATTCCTTGAGTGTGTCACTTGCAGAGGTGGTTGGGTGGTGCTTCAACATGGTCTGAAGCTGTCCACTGGGTGTGCTGGCTCTGGGACCAGGTCAGCCACTGCCTGTGTTCTACCCAGGATCACAAGGCATAAGCTACAAAGTGATCTGCAGATGGCTGCTTCTTGTGCTAGGCTTGGAGGTGCCTAGGCAAAGCCAAGTTGTGAACCAAGGCTGGCTGCTTCTAGTGCCAGGCCTGGGGCCACTTAATGAGAGGTATGGGGCTCGCTGAGACCAGAAGCTGCATATTTGAGAAAGTTTAGGAAATCTGAAACATGATCCAAGACAGACCATTTCTGTAGTAAAGCAACTGGAAACAGCTTGGGTGGGCCCGAAAGTTGGGTGGGGCGGGGCCTCAGGGAATCACCTGTGAGCCAGGTTGCTGGGGTCCCAGATATGGCTGCCATCTGCTGCCCCAGGGAAGGGCTCACCAAAGGAACAAAGGTCTCTGACAGCATGTCTGTCCAGGAGAGAGCTGCCTCTCCAGCCCTCACCCCAATGCCAGACAACTCAGTTCTTCCCCATATGTCTCTGGTGCCTTTTGACCTGACCCCCCTCCTCGCTGGAGCTCAGAGGTAGCAAGTCCGAGTAAGTCTGTGCGCAGGCCCTTTAAGAGGAGCTGCCTGGGGCTCCAGCCACGGCAGCCTTGCTCAGCCTCTGTTCCCATTGGTTTTACAGCCAGATGTTTTGGGGATTCTCTTCCTGGCAGCCTGAACTGACAGCCTGGTGTGGTACAGGGACCCCTCAGTCCTCAGGGAGGACCTTCCCAGCCAAGGTGTCCTCCTGATTTTTATCCACCACACGTGGGTGTGGGACCAGCCCGTCTGTGCCTCCGCCCCTCCTACCAGTCTCAATGTGGCTTCTTCTTTTTATTTCTTTTTTTGTTTTTTTAATTAATCAATTTTTGTTACAGATGTTTCTCCTAGTGTGGCTTCTTCTTTAATTTCGTAGTTGTAGGACTTCCATTTAGCTTTATTTAAGGCTGTTTTGAATGATGGTTGTTCTGTATTTAGTTATCATTTTGATGTGGTTGTGGGAGGAGGTGATACCGCGTTTACCTACCCGCCATCCTGACCAGAAGTCAAGAGCTGGGCCTTCTTCCTGCTTGAAGCCCACTGTGTGCTCTGATAGCAGTCGGGGCTCTTACCCACGCAGATCCCCTCAGGATGGGCTGCAGGCAGCCGAGGCCAGTGGGGAGAACACAGGTCTGGAGCTCTCCAGGTGGAGTTCAAGCCCCCGCTTCACCCCTTGCTGGCTTTGTGACTTGGGGCTCATTCCTTAACTGATGCAAGTGAGGCTCTGCATATGTAGGAAGGGACTGTCCCTGCCTCCCTCTCGGGGCTGTTGTGCAGCGTGATGAGGCAGGGACAGAGACTGCCTAGTGCAGGCCCAGGGACAGGCAGCGGGAGGACACCCAGGTGACTCCAGAGTCTTAACGACCAAACCCAACCCGCTGCCCGGCTTTGATCAGAACTGTCCATGGACAGTAAGGGGCATGGTCTCCCCTCTAGCAGAATCCTGGATTCTGGCCCACGCAGGGGAAATGAACACGTGATGGGAAAGCAGGCGCTACCGGCCACTCCCCGCTGAAAGGACAGCGGAAAACTGCCCAGCGAGAGAAACGGACATGTTCCCTCGGGAGTGCTCCCAAACTGGGACGGCTTTCAGGGGAGACTCCGTCGCCCTAAGATCCTGAGTGGTGCTGGGAGGGTCCGGGGGGCGAGAGAGCTAAGAGAGGAATGAGCTGAACCGCAACCCAGGGCGTGCAGGGCACCTGGGACAGGATTAAGTCAGCGGACACCTCCTGTGAGGGGGCTTGTGAGGGCCCAGCCGCGGCATTGCACACCCAGCCTGTGCCTGACGCACAGTAGGTCCACAGCACTTCCCTGTTTGTTGTGTCTGCAGGCTCATCATTTCCGGAAACTGCCCAGAGCTGTAGTTTCTCTGAGTGCTGGTGTCAGTGTTCCGGTAGAGCCGTGTATTGAGCAAAAACTCGTCCCCATGGCCGTGTTTTCCAGGACCCAGATCAGGAGAATAAGGGTCGAGTTGAGAGGCCGAGACTCAGCCCTCAAACCCGGGTCAGACTCTTAGTCCCACCCCTTCCTTGTTGAGGGACCAGCTCAGGGAAGTCCCATACCTGTCAGCAGGTACACTGGTCCACCCAGACGAGGTTATACAGGTCAAACACTCTCCTGCCATGGTCAGCATAAAGTAGGACCGAGGCCCCGACCAGCACGGGTCAGCAGTTAGAGTGTCAGCCCGCGGACTGAAGAATCACAGGTTCGGGTCTGGTGAGGGCCACATACCTGGGTTGCAAATTTGATTCCTGGCTCCTGTCAGGGTCAGTTGATGATGTGTCTCACTCACATCGATGATTCCCTCCCTCCTTCCATGCCACTCTCTAAAAATCAATGGAAAAATATCCTCAGGTGAGAATTAACAAAAAAGATAAAAAATTAAAGTAGACGCTGAGGAAGTGTTTCCTTCCCGAATTAAATTGTTTCTTGATTCAGGACGTTGTTCCATAGAGACGGTCCCGTGGGCCTGGCCTGATGAAAGTGGTGCAGGAGCTAAAACGTGACCCAGAACTGCCCAGGGCAGCAGCTGTGTCCCTCGGGGGTCATTTGGGTCCACGTGCCTGGAAGAGCGCTGTGGTCATGACCAGTGCCTTATCTGACGGTTCTCATGTATGTTTTTGCTGACCAGGAGCTGAGAAAGCATAATAGCATTTTAATGGAGGCCAAGTCCATGCTGGAGGAACAGCTCGCTGTGGCTCGGGCCTGGCGATCAAGTTGAGGAGCTGCAGACAGAGAACCTGCAGCTGAAATCTAAGCTTCGCACCCTGGAGCTGGTATGACAGCTGCTGTCACCGCGTGTGAAGCAGACTGGGGCAGCTTCAGGTGGAGGCTGTGCCATCTCTGATGCTCAGCTCCTGGGGGTGCTCTGCTGGGACGGTGCTGTGGCCGCTGACTGCCCAGAGGCGCTCGCTAAGGTCAGAGCTTGAGTGGGCGCCACGTCACACCCACGTAGCAGACAGGGCTGGAGTGCGTGCTTTTCTGTGAGGATGTATGTATGTGGGGTCTGCTGGCGTTCGTGGTGTGGGTTGAGCTGTGATTTGTGTGTCTACAGCCTTGCCAAGGTTAGTGAGGCCTGCTAAGGGGCCACGAGACTGCCTGTGACCATATTGATTTAAAGCCCTTTGCTGTGAATCACTTTGTTCAGACTCCACTGGGTTGGAGACCTTAGGTCTCTTCATCACCTAGATCCCTGGGTCAACATATCTTTTAGTGTCTGAAACTCTCAGAGCTGGGCCCCATGCTGGAGTCGTTTCTGTGCGGCTGTGTTTTGGGAAATGAGCGGGTGCGCAAAGGCCCTTCACCCTGGGGGGATGAGGGTAGATGTCTGGGGGCCTGAACCTGTCCAGAGGGGGCTCCGGGCTGCATCCTCACCCCTGCCCTCCCCCTGCACTAGGGCTGGGACACAGACCAGAAATGCATTGAGGAAATCCTAGAAAAGAACATGGTCCTCGAGATTGTACAGAGGAAGAGCATGAACAAGTCTGCCCATGTGGGCAGGGAGCTAGAGCAGCTGTCTAAGAATGCAGATCTGTCAGATGACCTGTCAAATGGTAGGCAGCCGCCCCGGTGCCCAGGAGTCAGCCTGGCTGTGGCTGCTCCCTCATCCAGGGACTGAACCCCTGGCGGTGAATGTAGGTCTCAGCCCATCCTCACCCCAAGTACATAGGATACTATTCAAGGGCCATTTGGAAGTGTTTCATTGCAATTCTCCCCATGATAACATGAAGGTCTAGCAGCCTTGAGGTCAGGGCATGAAATGCATAGTAAGTGTTGTCAGATTTCTCAGTTCCTGTATGGACAGTCCCAGCAGCTTCCAGATGACAGCATGCTGACAGCCCGAGGACATCTTAGATTTCTCCATGGGCAACTGAGAGCTCTTGGAGGCAGGAGATGCCCCAAGTGGTCACTAAACTCCACTATAAACCTACCCTGGGCATTATTTGCTAGGTTCATTGCAAGATGGATGCACCTGCTCTCTGTCTCCCTGGGTGGGGGTTCCTAAGTGGCTTCTTCTCATGGGACCCAGGCTTCTTCCTCTTCTTGTGGTTTCCTTGTGCCCAGCACCCCAGACGAGGTGTTGAGTTGGCCAGGGGAAGGGGGTGGAGTGGCAGTGGCCAGTGCAGCAGGAGGCCTGAGACCGGGAAACAGCAGCCAGCTCCTCTGTTCACACGGAGCACACGTGCACCCGAGAGTGCAAGTTCGTGCTCACTGAGAGCTTCACAGAGCAGGGGGGCGTCAGGCTGGGGTGGGAGGGGGGGCGTCAGGCTGGGGTGGGAGGGGGGGCGTCAGGCTGGGGTGGGAGGGAGGGCGTGCTCTTCCAGTTCTGAGAAACATGCCTAAGCACCATGGAGAGGCTTTGAAAGCAACTGGATATCCAAGGGGTCCCATTAGTTCCATACCTACAATCGGCTCATTAAACTATTAATTGTGAGCAGTGAGATGGTTCTGTGGTTTGGAGTCTGGGCACTGCTGGGCGGTGTGGGGGGATCCCTGCTCTGGAGTTCAGGTTCATGGGGAGGATCACTGCCCTCTGGTGGAGCAGGAGGATAGTGCAGGCTGGCTGGGACAAATGTGTTTCTGTCAGAGGCCAGGGTGGCTGATGGGGTTGGAAGCCTCACTGGTTCAGAGCACTCAGAATAGTTCGTGAGCCCTTTCAGGTCAGTGATCGTGGTCTATTCTGGATGTTCCCAGCTCCTCCTGCTTAGCTGGCAGGTAATGAACAAAGCATGAATATAATTTTTCATGAGTGGTGTGGTGGCCTCTTGAGTCAGAAAGACCTGACTGATAGTCCTGGTTCCTCCACGTGTAGGCTGGGTGCCTCTTCTAAACCTCAGTTTTCTTATCTGCAAAATGGGGTAATAGAGCTGCCTCCCAGGGTTGCTATGCGTATCCTGTGAGAGGAGACAGTGCCGGGCCCACGGGGCACCAATAAAGGATGGCTGTCCTTGTGACCCTTGCCTTATTCAAGGTGTCCCATTGCTGTGGCTCGTGGGGTGCGCATGAGCGTAGCACCCGGTAAAGAACCATTGTTTGTTTTCTCAACACACGGTCATGTCTTCATAATAGTCTCTGAGGAAATGAGGCTTGTAATCAACTCCATTGTTGAACTTGGAGAACCTTCAGAACTTTTTCCACGAGGACTTTGGTGTGAGATAGTGAAAACATCTGATAGTTACAGAACAGCAGGAATGTAGCTAATGCCACAGAACTGTACCCTCAAAAACAGTTAAAACAGCAAATTCGATGTGTATATTTCACCACAATTTTTTAAAATATTTTATAAGTGACTGCAGCAAAGTACCGTCTAGTGATCCCCGGGTGTGAGTTAGTGGCGTTATAGCCGCTCAGTGTCGCTTGTAGCCTTGTCAGGACAAGCCCCTCACACGTTGTGTGATGAGAACATGCGTGTCTGTGTGTGGTCAGCGCTGGACAGGGTCGGGCCCTCCGCTGTGCACTGCCTGTGGTGTGGGGTCCTCAGTGTTCTGGCTTCTCGGGTCCGTGCTGCTGTCCATGGTGGAGGAGCAGAAGCAAAGCCAGATGCAGGCACTTGTCATCCTCTGATCACCCGAGTTGCCGGAAACATGTTGTTTCCAGCTGAGCGGCTGCTGGGAGAGCCATCCCCTCTCCGTGTGCTGATGGAGGAGGAGCAGGTGGGTCGGCCGCATCCGCGGTCCAGTGTGATGAGGCTCCAGGGCTGAGCATGTGGCCTCGGAGGGACAAGGGCGAGAGCAGCCCTGACCCCTCTTTCGAGGGCTCTCATCTAAATTCGTTTTTTCCTGAAAATGCCCCAGAATTTACGTAAAGCCATGCCCCTGGTTGTGACAGGATGGCCAAGAATGCCCGTTCTGCTTGGGTCTGTGCTCCCTTCCTCTTCGCATTCAAAGGACGGAATCTGCCCTTTTCTATCTGACTTATGTTTTCAACTTGCTTAGAAATTTTAAAGCATTTTAGATATCATATCTCAGTCTTTTTCCAGTGTAATTTTAAAATCACAAAATGAAACCTCTGTTTGAAGGACCTTATCCAGGGTGGCACATCCTGGGCATGTGCACCCGTAGCCTCCACCTCCCTGGAAGACATACTAGTTAGTCGTCATGTCCTCTCCCCCCCGCGAGCCACCCAGACTCCCACTGCTCTCAGGCTGGCCCGGGAATGCCATCTGCCGCCTCGCTCTGTCAGCCTCTAACATCCTCCACCTGAGGTCAGGTTGGAACTTGGGAATAGTGGTTCTAGCAGTTCCATGGTCCTGACCTTCGGCATTGGTGTCTCCACTGTCACCTGCTTTTCTCTTAAGCTCTGGGTTGCTCCCCTAACAGACCTCAGCTGAGCCAGTAGAGGGGCCAAACTGCCTGAGGAACCTTCAGGTGCTGACAGCAATAGCGCCCTGTGAAAAGGGAGGGCACCCAGCTGAGCTGTGGGAGCCCATCCCAGGCCCTCGCACCCGGGGTTGGGACTGATGGCCGTCTGTGGCTGGGGGCAGAGAGTGGCAGCCAAGGCCCCTGGAATCCAGGCTCTGACCTGCCTCTGCCCTTCAGACTCCAGGAAGTCCTCTGTGCTTGAAACCAAACAATGTGCCTCCAGCCACATCCTGAAGCTGGAGAAGGAGAGACAGAGCCTACAGAGCACCATCCGGGATGCGTCCCTGGTGCTGGAGGAGAGCAGCCTCAGGTGCAGGGAGCTGGAGGAGGAGAACCAGCAGCTCAGCAACAAGGTAACCAGGGGTGTGCGGATGTGCGGGCAAGGAGGCGGCCGGTGGGCACCCGGTGTCCTGAGGGTGCGCAGTGGGAGACATGCAGACCCAGTGACGCCTCCGCTGTGCTGGACGGACAGGAGCCGTCATGGAGAACTCACTAGCAGTGTGACCGGCACGACTGACCGCTGTGTGCCCTGTTGCCTCCTGATGAATGGGGTTCACGATGTCCCCACCACTTAGGTGCTGTGAGGACCGCATGGTCAGTGTAGGTCCAGGGTCCAGCACCGAGCACGTGCTCCCGGACCAGAGCGCTGAGCCCTGTTCGAGAGCCTGGGCGGAGCTGGGAGGGCAGCGGTGTGGGGGACACGTGTGAGCAGGGCAGGGCGGGCCTGTCGGCATTGCTGGGGGACAAGACCAGCTCACCTTCCCTCTCAGTGGACGGGATGAGGAAGGAGAGAGAGCTCAGCTGCATGTGCCTCTCAGGACAGCCGGGCTCCCAGGAGGACAGTGGGACTCAGCCTTCTGAGGATGGGCAGGCTCACAGTCCAGGCCATCCTGCAGTCAGGAGGAGCTTCATTCACGTGGCAGGAAGGGCCTTGGAGAGGCTAGGGCAGGGACAGAGGGCATTGGGACAGACAGCCACACTGAGAATGGCACAGCCGCAGGGTGGGCTCTGAACACACGTTGACCGGGGGCCAGGCGAGAGCACTCTGGCTTGCTGCCCACCTTGTAGCGGGTGCGTTCAGCTGTCTGGGTGTCTGTCCCGACCTGCCCACCAGTCCTGCAGTGTCACTGGTCGCGGAGGCACCGGGAGTGGAGGGACATGGGCTGCAGACGGGAGACCTGGGCTCTGCTGGTCACGCTCCGCTGGTGCTATGTCTCTGGGTGAGAGCTGGGACACCCCCTCCTCTGTGAGCGCTGTCCCCAGGCCTCTTGTCGAGGGTCAGTTAGTCCCTCTTCTGTCCCTTTGAAGTGTCGTGAGCCTCACATCAGAGCAGCTGCCAGATAGTGTGTCCTTTCCTGGTGGGACGCTGGACGCCCGTCTCGTGCCATCTCTCGGGCCAGCGCAGCACAGGGAGAGCCACTGGACAGTGGGTGTTACATCACATGGGCCTGGCACAGAACAGGTCTCTATAAATGGCCATCCCACCTCAGCCAAGATGAAAAGAATGGACCTTTAGAAAGATGAGACCTCCCACTGGGGGTCCTCAGCATCTGTGCAGCAGGCCCGCGATGCACCCTCTCTGGCCTGGCTCCCAGCAGGCCTCAGAAATGACCACTGGCACGTTTCCTGCCCTCGGGTCAAGGCCAGTCCCTCCTCTGCACAAACAGGACTGGCGGTGCCACCTCTCCAGCATGACCCCTGTGCCCCTGTCCTCGGGTCCCACCCCTGCGTCCTCGCTGGACCCCTCCCTGGTAGGACGCCACGCAGTCCTGCCGCAGCCCGCGGGAGGCGTGTCTGGGCCCAGAGTCCTGGCGGAAGGAGCGCTGCAGGCCTCCGACCAGCTGTCCCGTGTGTGGTACCGGGGGTCCTGGGAATGCGGCCCTTCTGCGCGCCGGAGCGCTTCTCCTTCCTGTCCTGCCCGGCTGCATCCAGCCTGACCCAGCAGGGCTGGTTCTGCCTTCTCCCCCTGGGCCTGGCACATAGCGGGTCCTCCCTAATGTCAGATGGATGGTGGGTCTTGGCCATCAGCTGAGTATCACAGGGAACATGGCCCGACTCTGACCCGTTCAGACAACAAGGCCACTCTGAGAGGCAGGAGCCAAGAGGCAGGTCCCTGGCACCTGTGTGCTCTGGGGACCCGGATCCTCACCACATGAGCCCTTGGCTTGAGCCTGGTGCTTCGGGGAGAACAGGAAACCCTCTGAGACCAGCTCACATGTCAGCCCAGCGAGCTCTCCCTAGGAGAACCGAGGTCCTTCAGGGACGCACAGGGGTAGGGGCTCCAGTCCCACGGAGAGAAGTGGACGGGGGGGGGGGTGTCCAGTGGTGATTGGAAAACAGAACAGTCACCTCTTCACTCTAGAAGCAATGACAGAAATGCAGAGGTTGGGATAAATTCCTTTCTCTGGGGAGGAAGGGGCACGGGGCTGAGGTATTAACAGTAAGGCAGGGGTGCAAGGCGGGGGTTGGGGGCACACACCACAGTCCCCCACTGGGTGAGCAGGCTGGGGTGGGGCCCCTGCGGTGCGTCCCAGCTCTGCCACATCCTCACGGTGGCGCTTTGGGCAAGTCCCTGGACCTCTCGGAGCCCGCGCCCTTCTCCGAGCGACGGTAACGACACCGCTCAGTGCTGCCTCCTCGGGGCCACCCTCAGGCCAGCGCTGCCCTCGGGAGATCTGGTTCCCTGGGCCCAGACCTTGCGCAGGACGTGGCCCTGCTGGGTGAGGCTCCCCCGGCCTCGGGTCCCCACGTAGGGCAGGGGGCCTGGTGTGCTGACAGGGTGACGTCAGGACACGGATGTGAGCCCCACTGTGCCCGACCCTCCCTCTCCTGGGGAAGAAGCCTGCCTGGCTGCTGCTTCCGGAGGCGCCCGAGACAGTGCCCGGCCCTGAGGGAGGAGGCAGGGCGGCCCCAGCCCGAGAAGTGGGCAGAGCGGGCGCGACCGGTGCCAGCCCGCAGCCGACGGGCCTGGAGCAGGCTCTGGGTCCTGGCTGTCACCGGGTCCTGCACACCTCCGGGTCCTACGTCCAGAGGTGCTACTCGGTGCCTGAGGTTCGGGGCCTTTAGAAGCTTTTGAACCGTCTGGCCTTCGGCTTGGAGACCCATTGCTTAGTTCAGAGCCGTCGTCCCGAACCAGCGACATCAGGGTCACAAGTCAAACATGCAGATTCTTGCCCTGGTTGGTTTGTTCAGTGGTTAGAGTGTTGGCCCCCAGACCAGAGAGTCTTGCGTTTGATTTCGGTCAATGGCAGGTACCTTGGTTATGGTTTGGTCCCTGCTCCTGGTCGGGGTCATGCAGGAGGCAACTAATCAATGCGTCCCTCTCACATTGATGTCTCTCTCCCTCTTCATCCCTCTCACACTATCCGAAGATAAATGGAAAATTAACCTTGGGTGAGGATTTTAAAAAAGGCAGATTCTTGGGCCCCAGCCCAGTGTGACTAGGGGGTACTCTCACAGGGGGACAGCGGGGTTTGGGGGGATAGCACATGGGAAGAGGACAGGCCTTGGTGACACATTTACTTGGGTGTGAGAGGAAGGAGAGACCTAGTAGAAGACCATTCTGAGCAGCTAAAGTGTAGAAATGTCCCCAACCAGGTAAAATTCCTGCAGGGCACCCAGCAGGGGTGGCTGCTGGCCCCGGAGGCAGGTGGCCTGACTCTCAGGGTAGTAGACAAGGACAAAGATAGAAGCAGTGTGGGTGGGGATTGGAGAGCTGGGTGCTCATGCCCTTCTCTGTTCCCTGAGCTGGACGTGCACCCTGTGGGCTGAGTCAGTGGTCAGGGGTGTGTGTGGGGAGGTCACTGCAGAACAAGGCCTGGACTGGGCAGCGGCTCCCGGAGGCCCCCAGGCGCCGGGCTCCTCTCTTCCTGTCCCGCCAGCCTTGGCTGTGGCTGTTGTACCTCCCCGAGAAGTGGCGGGAAGGAGCTTTTCCTTGAGAAAAGTCCTGTTAAAGTAGTCCGTGGGGCCGAGAGGTTTGGGGTTTGCTTTAAAACAAATTCGCTTTGTGAAACTGAGTTTTGCACGGGCTGGGTCCTTGGCTCTGCAGATTGAAACGTTGCAGACCCAGCTGGAGAGAGAAAAGCAGAGCAACCAGGATTTGGAGACCTTCAGTGAGGAGCTGATCTTAGAGACAGAGCAGTTGCGTTATGACATGCAGACCCGGACAGCTGACAGCGCCAGGCAGGTAGGCCCTCCGGTGTGGGCGCCTCCCCTGGAAGCCCTGCCCACAAGAGGGAGGTCACAGCTGTGCCCTGGCCATTGATCAGTAGGGATATGTGGGTTACCAGTGTTCTTCCTCCGCTGCAGCTCGGACCAGCAATTTGCAACCTCATTAGGGGCACAGGGACAGATTTCACCTCCCAGGGACACTGGCTGTCTTGTTTTCGGTTGTCATGACTTGGGGGAGGACAGAGGAGGTGCTCCTGGCTGTGGTGGGTAGAGGCCAGGGATGCTATTCAATGTCCTGCGGGGCACAGGACAGGCCCGCAGGACACAGAGGATCCCGCTCCAAATGCCCAGAGTCACACCGGAAACCCTGGCAAACCTCCAGCTTTGATTGCCTCACACCAGAACCAGGGCAGGCAGTCCAGTGCTGGGCAGTGACTCAGTGACTCCCCCCAGGAGCCAGGCTTCTGTCTTCGGCTCAGCCAGACTTGGCAGTGGCGGTTGTACCTCCCAAAGAAATGGGCAGGAAGAACGTGGAGCTTGAAGGGGCAGAAGAAAGACCTCCTCAGGACCCACTGTTAACATCTCATTGGCCAGACCCAACACATGACTGCCCCTAGCTGCAAGGGAGGCAGGGTATCAGGTACTCGCGTTTTTCAGCCTCTCTAGTAGAGCAAAAGACAGGGGGTTGGGATGGTGCTATGTACAGTGCACAGACAGAAGGGGCCGCCCTGATGTGGCTTACAGTCTAGACGGCTGATGGACAGGTGATTTCAGACGTGTGCTATTGAAGGAAAAATGTGGGACCAGGGATAGAGTCCTGCTAGGGGCAGGACAGTTACAATCCTGGTGCAGGGCTTCTCTGAGGAGCTGATACACTGAGCCCTGGAAGGTGAGAAGGGGCCAGGGATGCTGAGGGCTGGGGCTGGGGGTGGTGGGTGTTGAGGGCAGAGGGAAGGTCACCTGCGGTGTCTGCGGGGGGAGTGCCTCCCGCACGCCATGACCGGAAGCTCCAAGGGAGTCACTTTCATAGTTTTATTTATTTACTTTTAGTTAAAAAATTTTTTTTTCTTTTATTAATTTTAGAGAGAGAGGAAAGGAGAGGGAGAGAGATAGAAACATCAATGAGAAAGAATATTGATTGGCCACCTCCTGCACGCCCCCCACTGAGGATCAGGTACACAACCTGGGCATGTGCCCTGACTGGGAATCGAACCAGTGACCTCTTGGTGCATGGGTCGACGCTCAACCACTGAGCCACACTGGCTGGGCTCATTGTTTTATTTTATTGCTTTTTAATCCTCACCTGAGGATATTTCATCATTGACTTTTTTTTTTTTTTTTTATCCTCACCGGAGGACATTTTTCCATTTTTTGTTCAGGTAGAGTGGGAGGGAGAGAGAGGAACAGAGAGAGAGAGAGAGAAACATCGATGTGAAAGGGACACATCGAGTGGTTGCCACCTGCACAACCGACCAGGGCCGGGGACAAACTGCAACTGAGGTACACGCCCTTAGCGGGAACCGAACCCGGGTCTCTCAGGACTGCAGGCCGATGCTCTAACCGCTGAACCAAACCGGCCAGGGCTCATCATTGACTTTTAGATATAGTGGGAGGAGGGGAGGGAAGGAGAGAGAGAGAGAGAGAAACATCGATGTGAGAGAGACACATGTACTGGCTGCCTCCCTTACACACCCAACCAGGGCTGGGGATCAAACCTGCAACCAAGGTATGTGTCCTTGACCAGGAATAGAACCTGTGACTCTCCGGTCCATGGGCCGATGCTCTAACAGCTGAGCCACACCGGCCAGGGCACTTCCATTGTTTTAGGGAAGAGGAGATGTGGTTTATGTTCCTAATCACCCCGGCTGCTGTGAATGGGTTTGGACTTGGACTGGCTCAATGGGGGTCTCCATGCCCTTTACCTAGTGTCCTTATCAGGCCTCTGGAAACATCAGAACTTCCTTTGGCTCCAAGGTGGGTGGCCTTTCCAGGCCTACACTTTAGTCCCCCAGTTTGGACCCAAGTCACTGAAATGCACTCGTGCAGCTGCCTATGTCATTTCCATTGTGTTTTCCTGCAGATCCAGCTTCTTGAGCAAGAAAAGGATCATCTCAGCCAAGCAATGCGGTTGCTGCAGGAGAGGTCACAGGCCGGCAGTGAGGCCCGCATGAAGGACATCGAGAGCGAGAACAGAGTCCTCCACCAGACGGTGACAGAGACCAGCAGCAAACTCAGCCAGCTGGAGTTGGAGAAGCAGCAGCTGCTCCAGGACCTGGAGCAGGTGAAGGAGAAGGTGAAGCGAATGGAGGAGCTGGAGAAGGAGCTACACCGGCAGGAGAAGGAGAACGAGAAGCTGGCCGAGAAGTTCACCTCCCTGAGCACCACGGCCACCGAGAAGATCGACGCCCTGGAGCGTGAGAGCCAGGATCTGACGCTGGAGAACCAGGAGCTGAGCAGGTCTCTGCACACCCTGCGGAACACTTCGGTGCAGCTCGAGGAGCTGGAGCGGGACAACAAGCAGCTGAAAGAGGAGAACCTGGAGCTGCGCAGGATGGTGGAGACCGTGAGCTTCACGAAGGCCAAGATGGCTCAGGTGGAGGCAGAGAGCCGGGAGCTTGAGCAGGAGGAGGAGCAGAGAAGCGAGGAGCTGAAGGCCCTGAGCACGAAGTCGGGGAGCCTGGAGCTCAGCTACCAGAGCGGGAGCCCCGAGAACCTGCAGCTGCTGCCGACCCTGGAGACCAGCGGCCAAAAGTCGCAGGCCCTGCAGCACGAGCTCGGGGAGCTGCAGGCAGAACACCAGGCCCTGCAGCGGGACCTGGAGACCCAGCAGCTCGCCAGCAAGCCGCTGGAGAGGTCCGAGGACAGGAAGGCGCTGGAGCAGGAGGTGGCCCGGCTGGAGAAGGACAAGAAGCTGTTGGAAGAGGAGGTGAAGCAGCTTCAACAGCAAGTGGAGCTGAAGGACGTGGTCTTGGATGACAGCACTGCCAGGCTGTCCGCAGCTCTGGACAAGGAGATGGCATGCTGCAAGGACGCAGCCACCAAGCTGAAGGAGCTGGAGAAGGACAACAGAGACCTCACCGAGCAAATCACTATGCACACAACAATGCTGACGACCCTGAGCGAGGTGAGCTGGGTGTAGGCAGCCCCTACAAGGGGAACAGTGGGGTTGACGTCTTTGTCCAGAACAGTACAGGACATGTGTGCTGTGACCCACTTGCTTTGATCTCAGCACAAGATTTGGGCAGTTGCCATAGTAGGGGATAGGCAGCTAGAATGTCCCACATCAGCTCTTCTGAGCTGCAGCTGGGAGGTAACAAATCACATCTCCATCCCCAGCCCATTGGCGACAGTTGGTCACCTTGGCTTTACCTAATCACAGGGTGGCTGGGAGATCTGCAGATGGAATGTTCTGCAAGCATCATTCTCTGTCATGCTGCTGGTGCAAGCCGGTGGATTTGGGGGGGGGAGGCACGCATGCTAACAGCTGGGACACCAGGCAGAAATTGTACCACTGGACGGAGCTCCACAGAGGGCCGGGAAGTAGCGGTGGACAAGACTAAGCCACCTCAATGACAGCAACACCCACTTTGAAAAGGAAATCAAGACCAGGATTTAAAATGAAATTGTTCTTGTTTTTATACTTTTTGTTCCAAATTCTCTGCAAGGAGCATTTAATTACATTACTCCCTAGGAAAGGAAATTATGAGAATTTGAACCTACTACTTAAAGGTCAACAAAACAGTATTTCAAAGCCATATTTGCATGTGTTTGGAGCTCATTGGATCTATCCTGACACACTGCCGTGTGGCCGGGTCACCTACACGAGGCTGAAGAGCGTGTTCACTCTTGGGAAGATGTCCTTGAGGTTCACCCGTCCCCATTGAATTGCCTGCCCGGCCCTCGTGACAGCTGAGTCAGCCATGACTTGGGAAGGCAGTTGTTCAGCCTTGAGAAGGACCTGTGCCCGGCCCCCCATGCTGTTCTGCTGGACGCCTGTCCCACACTTGTCCTCTCCCTGCCCTGCAGGCCCTGGCGCTGGAGAAAGTAAAGACCCAGCAGCTGAACATTGAGCTGCATAAACTGAGCGAGGAGTTTGAGAAGATGGGCCTCCACCAGGAGCTGCTGCTGCAGGATGAAGACGGCAGCAGCGACACGTGAGGCCCCCCCCTGTGGTCTGCAGCTTGACAGCTCACACCCGGCCCCACGTGCTCCGTGTCCCACGTGCTCCGTGTCCTATGTGCTCTGTGTCCCACGTGCTCCGTGTCCCACGTGCTCCGTGTCCCACGTGCTCCGTGTCCCACGTGCTCTGTGTCCCACGGCTCCCCCTCAGCCCCAGAGCTCTGCTTCGTCCTCACAGCTGAGGGCCTGCTGTCCTTCATCTCCAGGTCCTTTTCCTGGAGGGTCCAGGGAGAGAGGATGCAGATTCTTTTGTCCAATAAAAAGGCTTTTTTAAAATAAAAAAATACACTTTATTTTTTAGAGTAGTTTAAGGTCCACAGGAAAATTGAGGGGAAGGTACAGAGATTTCCTGTGTCTCCCCTGCCCCTGCCATAGGTACAGCCTTCCCCATTACCCCCCCCCCCCCAATGGTGGTACGTTTGTTACTCTTGATGAACCTACACTGACATGTCAGCAGCATCCACAGTCCATGGTTTGCGTTGGGGTCATTCTGTGGGACTGGACAAATGTCTACTGACGGGTCCATCTTTACAGTGTTACACAGAGTAGTTTCGCTGCCCTAACAGGTGTCTGTTCCACTTACTTATCCTTCTCTCCCTCACCCAACCCTTGAATTTTTTTTTAAATCGTCACCCTAAGATATTGATCCATTTATCTTCAGACAGAGTTGGTGGGGGGGAATTGATGTGAGAGAGACACAGCGATTGGTTGCCTCCCGCATGACCCTGACCAGGGCCAGGGAACCAAACCACAACTGAGGTACGTGCCCTTGACCGGAATCGAACCCACAACTCTTTGGTCTGTGGGCTGACGCTCTAACCGCTAAACAAAACCAGCCAGGGCCCAGCCCTCGAATTCTTAAAAAAACGTATTGCAGCCTTTGCCTGCAGTGCTTTCTTCGGTGATGCCATTGTTCACGGAAACCCCGTGTCTTGGACTTTTGCTGGACTTGTAACTGGCAGGAGGCACATGCTCGATCGTGTGACATCCTTTTGGTGGGGTCCCCTAGCACTGCAACTTTGAGCAAATTGCTTAACCTCTCTGAGACTCAGTTTCCCCTTCTGTAAGAAGTCGTGCTAATTCCTCCCTAAGACGAAGGCTGTAAAACTGCCCCAGCTCCCTGGCCGGTTTGGCTCAGCGGTTAGAGAGTCGGCCTGCGGTCCAGAGAGACCTGGGTTCGGTTCCCGCTAAGGACGCGTATCTTGGTTGCAGTTTGTCCCCGACCCTGGTTGGGTCGTGCGGGTGGCAGCCACTCAGTGTGTCTCTTTCACATCAATGTTTCTCTCTCTCTCTCTCTCTTCCTCTCTCTCCCTCCCACTCTATCTGAACAAAAAAATGGAAAAATGTCCTCAGGTGAGGATTTAAAAAAAAAAACTGCCCCAGTGATTTTTGAAGGTGTCACAAGCATGTTGACGTGGGGACTGCCCGGTGGGCTCTGGGCGGGTGGTTTTCGGCTCCTGCAGATGTTCTGGGCGGATGCTGCCCATGCTGAAGGGCACCGGCTGGAAGGAGTGGGGGGGGGGGGTGACAGCTGGGAGACTGGAGCTTGTGGGTGGAAGAGGCCGACCAATGACACTGTCATATCTTTGTATTTTCTAGAAAATGCAGGATTTTGGAGGGCAGGAACGCATCGGCATTAGAAACAACACTAGACGTGAAGGGGGAAAAGGCTGTGTTCGTCAGAGGGCTGGGGGAGGAGAAAGCCAGCCGGAACCACCAGCTCCAGAAGGAGCCCCAGGAGGTAAGAGTGGGCTGTGGGGACCAGCTCTGGGTCCCCCGTGAGGGCCCTGCCTCGCCCTTTCCAGAGCCTCATCCCGGTAGCAGCGGGGCGGCCGGGTGCCCGTCTCCGGGAGCAGGTGTGGATGAGCCCCAGGGTTCTGAGGGAGCTACTTCAGCACATTGGAGCTGGACAGAACCAGAGAGTGCATCCGAGATTGGGGGGCAGAGGAGGCAAGATCTGGGGACACTGATGAGAACCCGTTGAAACTGGGCATCGGGCACCAAACGGAATCTCATGGGCCCCCTCAGAAGGGACAGACACAGGTGCACCGAGGCTGGTAAGGATGTGCAGTCCACTCTGGGTGCACACATGCTCTCCACATGCTTGCACACACATGCTCTCCACATGTGCTCTCCATGCACGTGCACACAGGTACTCCTCCGTCTCTCCTCCGGGAACCTTGGCATGTGTCTTGGTTGTGTGATTGGATGAGGAATCTAGAGCAGAGCAGTTCTAGAGCTCATGGGGACTGTATCGCCACCTGGTCCATATTCCTGGGCTCAGGGATGTGAGAAGACTTGCCACCGTTGTGTGACTAAATCAGGACAGAGGCAGCACGGGGCCCCGGGCCCCCGCCCTGTCTGTCATCTTTGGAAGGAAGGAGAAATAGGACAGAGGTTATGTGCACCTCCACCAAAGCAAAAGCAGGGTGTCTGCCTAGTCATGGCCGGTGCCAGGTGAGGGGTGGGGTCAGTCGTGGGTCTGAGCTTCCGTGCTCCCGTGCCCACAGCTGAAGATGGAGTGTGAGCTCCCCAGGCAGAACCAGGAGGAGGGGAGGCACCTGGAGGACTCATTGAAACACCCTGCGGGGACACTGGTCGCTGGTCACCAGGGGCAGGAGACACACAAGGAAGCCACCATGGAGCCACTCCAAGTGCAGGACCGGGCCCTCAAGCTGGAATGGAACGTGAGTTGGCTTCCCCGGCCCGGGTGCTCAGAGAGAGACCCACCATCATGGACACATCATGGAGATGGGATGAGAATCTGCTGAGACTTATCCGTGTCTCGTTGGACACGTTTTGATCTGTCCTGGCAAGTCCTACGAGCTTCTGAGTTTCCTTCAGCATTTCTAACACGAAGGGGCACACTCACGTTTTCCCACAGGACTTGCCACCTGCCTGCCTATCAGATGTGGCCTGTAGCTTATACACCAGGACTGTTTCCTACTGTTGTGTGTCGGTGCTCTGTGCCGGGGGTTGGCAAACCACGGCCCAGCACCTGCTTCTGTGAATAAGGTTTTATTGGAGCACAGACATGCCCTTGGTTTACCTGTGGTGTGGGGCAGGGCTAAGTGGTTGGGGTGGACACCGCGTGGCTGGCACACCCACATGTTTACTATCTGGCCCTTTACAGAAAAAGGTTTGCCATTGTGGGTCCGAACCCCTGATTTTATTTCACTCTCCCAGTCGTTGTATGACGTAGATAGTGATGGGTTTCACCATTTGACAGATGCAAAAGCTGAGACCGTTTGAGACTTGACCAAAGTCCCATGCTAGTGGGGTAACCCATGTAACCTTGAACCCCACTTGTCCTGGCTCCTCGCCCATGGGTGGCATATTGTATCCTCATACAGTGGTTCAGCCTCCTGGGACGTGAACCACCTCATTGGCCGCAGGCTTGGACTCGCATCCTGTGCGAGAGGCTCGCCGAAGGCACCCGCAGGTGCTCACAGAAAGCATTCGGGAGGGAAGGGATGCGGAGGCGCCGACCCCTTGCCTTTGCCTCGCACTCACAGCCCCGGTCTGCGCAGACTCCCCATGTGCATTGTCTTTTGTCTTGAAGCACATCCCCCACAAAATAGGTGTGTTTGTTTTCCAATTCTGTTGATTGTTTTTCCAAGAGAGAAAATGTTACTTCTCTCACTGGGTGGACCCTGGCTTTGGTCCCCAAAACATCCACCTCTGAGGGCTCCTTACAACTCAGGTACCACTGATCAGTGAGCAGCCCCTGACAGCCTCGTGCTCTCCCCTAGAACGCAGCTCTGCAGGCCGAGAAGCAGCTGCTCAAAGACCAGCTGCAGCACTTGGAGACCCAGAACGTGGCCTTCAGCAGTCAGATCCTGACGCTGCAGAAGCAGAACGCTCTCCTGCAGGAGCACAGCACCTCCCTGCAGGAGCACAACACCACACTGCTCACCCAGAAGTCCCAGCTGCAGGTGAGGCGGGGCGTGGACCTGGTCCCGAGACCAGCCGTGAGTGCACTGGCCCCTCGTCGTAAGCAGGACAGCGTCCAGGAGAGTTTGGGGCTCTGTTCTGTTCTATTTTGAATAGGCTCATTGAAAATCGTGCTGCCCGGCCTCAGGGTCTTGGAAGGTGGCGATGGTGGGTGAGCCATGCTCAGTGAGTGAGCGTATGGCCGCAGCCTTGTCTGTGTCCCAAAGCCTCTTCCTGGAGATGTTATTAGCCATCACTGGGAAAAGAGATTCTGAGATCAGCTCAGTTTGGTTCAACAGACTTGACCAGGCTTCTGTACTGGAGAACCTTGCCGACCTTGTTTACGCTACGATGGATTTTTAACCTCCACGAGGGACATAGGGTAAGACGTGGCTTCCAGGCTGCGAGAGCATCTAGCAGAGCTCGTGTTCTGGGCCACGGAGTTGAGGATATTTTCACGGTTATGGTTAACAGATGGTGGGGACACGAGAGATCATGTATTCATGCAGTTTCTGAGAGAAGTGTTGGAAAAGATGTAACTTAGGGGTCAGGAACAATAAACAGGAAACCATTTGGCAAACAGGTTGGGATTTGTTCTATTAAAATAAAACAGGACATTGGTTTGTGTTTTGTTTTTCTTGTTGTTATGTCTTTGTCTGGTTTTAATATCAGGGTAATTCTGACCTCAGACCGTTAGGACGGATTCCTTCCTCTTCAGTTTTCCGACAGTTGTGGGTGCTGTTGGGCGGGTGTTCTGTAAATACCAGGTTAAAGTGCTTGGGTCTGCTGTTCGGGTGTTCTGTATCCTTAATGATTTTAGTCTACTTTTTTCTGTTAATGTGTTCTTACTAGTTTAAGAGAGAAGAAAGGAGAGGGGGAGAGAGAGAGAGAGAAACATGGCTCAGATGCCTCCAGCACGCCCCCTTTTGGGGGTGGAGCCCGAAACCTGGGCATGTGCCCTGAACAGGAATCAAGCTGGTGGCCTTTGGTGCATGGGACAACTTTCAACCACTGAGCTACACTGGCCGGGCTGTCTACTTTTTTTTTTTATCCTCACCCAAGGACATTTTTCCATTTTTTGTTCAGATAGAGCGGGAGGGAGAGAGAGGAAGAGAGAGAGAAACATCGATGTGAAGGGACACATCAAGTGGCTGCCACCCACACGACCAACCAGGGCCGGGGACAAACTGCAACCGAGATACGCGTCCTTAGCGGGAACCGAACCCGGGTCTCTCTGTACCGCAGGCCGATGCTCTAACTGCTGAGCCAAACCGGCCAGGGCTTAAATAGTCTTTTAAAAGTAGTCAAAGAGGGTACCTAAGGAGCTTATCCAGAGAAAGAACATAACTTGGTCAAAATGGTCACGTGTTGGGAGGAGCACAGGACTAAGTTGAGCACCACGTGATGGTCAGTATATCCCTTGGCCCTTTCCCAGAGCAGCCCCTAAGTCCTGGTAGAAGTGTTCGAGCACAGCTCTGTTTTGCCTGGGATAGAGTCTGTGCTCCCCTGGACCTGTGCCCAGTGAGAGATCGTCACCTTCTCCCTCCCCCACCTCTCCCCCGCCCTGGCAGGTAGAAAATTCCACCCTGAACTCCCAGAGTGCCTTGCTCTCCATGCAGTTCTCGCTGCTCCAGAGCAAGCAGCAGGCCAAGGAGAGGGAGCTCGAGAGCCTGCAGGAGCAGCAGGAGCAGCTGAAGGCGGACTACAGGGCCCTGCAGCAGGACCACAAGCACCTGCGCGCGCTCCTCCAGCACCAGTCCGCAGAGTACGAGGCCCTCGCCCACCAGCACGGCTGCCTGAAGACCCTGCATGGAGACCTGGAGCTGGAGCACGAGGCGCTCAGGAAGAGGTGTGTGCGGGCTGCTGCAGGGTGGCTGGGGTCCCCCGGGCTCCTGTCCCCACTCCGCTCTGGCCCCTCAGGTCTCCCCTGGGCCCGCTGTTTCACTGTGAAGAGAAGTCAATCCAAGTCACCCTCAGCGATGTGGAGTTTGTGCAGCTGGAGACTGGGGCAGGAGGGTCCCCGAGGGGAGAATGGTGTGCACAGCTAACCCTGGCTCAGGGAAACATGTCCGCACTGGGGTCCCTGCTCCCCTGAGGATTCCCAGCCCCTCTTCCTTTCCCATCCAAACCAAGAACAGGAGGGGGTCACCACAGCTGCCGATTTCAGTGACATGCTCCCCTCGCTCCCCGGGCCTTTTTTTCCCTGTCAGAGTTTGGGCTTTTGTTTTTCTTTTATTTACCTTTTAATTTGGAAACCTTTGAGTACATAGAAATGTAAAGCACAGCACAATGACAGCCCCGTGTCCCACCACTGGCGTCAGTGCTAATCCACCCTCTGCCGTCCCCATGTCATCCCCACCTCCTGCCCTCCATCCCAGCCTCCTTTCTGTGAGGGGAAGCTGATGTGCACCGAAATGCACATGTCTTACCTTTCTGCTCCTGAGCGATCAGGGCTTTCTGGGCGTGCAGTCAGCACCATGTCCTGCGCTCCGGCCCTGGAGATCCCAGGCTGCCCCCAGCCCTGGGGGAGCAGCAGGACCCAGCCCTGGGGGAGCCGCGGTGTGCGGGGACTCCAATGCAGGAGGGGAGGAGATGAGTCTGAGGAGAGGCTCTCCAACACTTGAGCAGCATCGGAGGGAGCTGCTGTCCACTTCCTGTGCCTGTGAGATGTCCCTGCGGACAGCATGTCCCTTGTACCCACCTCAGCAACACGCTGAGCAAATGCTGGGTCTTTAGTGGGGGCCGCTGAGTTGTGGGGAGTTTCTATCGCAGGGATCCGGGGAGGTCGTTGAGCCAACAAAGCCTAGTGACAGCATCTGATGGTGCTGGGGGCACAGAGGTGACGACATTCACTTATTTACTAACCCGGTGCATCCTGGCGACTCTCCTGAGCCTTCCACCCCCTTCATTCACCCAGATCCCCATCTTCCAAGGGTGCTGAGACGTCTGCTCCTGTCAGACTCCGTTCCTTCCAGCTAAAAGGAGCATCTTCTGCCTGTTGGCATTTTCATCTCTCCTCCCCCAACACGCACCTGTGTTCACGTGCCACTTCTTGAGCATCTGCTGTAGGCCTGGCGCGGTGTCTCGAGGTGTGGGAATGCACCCAGCTGCCTGGTGAGGTGGAGCCCACAGTGTTCACACGCTGAAACCAGCATCCGCCCCTCACCAGGCACTTACGGGTCTTACCCTCCGTGTCCTATTCTATATTATAACAGTGTCCCGATATTCTTAGTGCCTGTGCAGACGCCGAGGGCTTGTGCAGGTGGAATTTCACTGGCTCTGAAGGCAGAGTTCATTGTTTTGCCTGTAGCTCCCTGCTCCATAGAACATGCAGTCCCACCAGATTTCTCTGTAGTTTTTACTGGTTGGACCAAAAGCTGAGGCCCCTTGTTCTGTCTGCAACAGTCCTACAGGTTTGGTGGTGTAGGAGCCGGGCACACAGGGATGATGATTCTCTATATTTATTAAATCTGACACTTTACTCAGACACACATTCATTCCCTTCACACATTCATTGAGTGTCAAGCCATGTACAGGGATTCATTGGGAAGCAAGACTCACAGTTTCTGCCCTGCAGTTGGGTGGTCACTGCTGGTGGAATGTGCTTGATCAGTGTGCTTTTCCAAGACAACAGGGAAGCAGGAGTTGGGGCCCCCAATGGTCTGTGACCCTAATTTGTCAAACCTGGATGAGTTTTTCCAGAATTATGAGTCTGGAGGAGAAAGATCACTGCCCTGAAAGACAGGCAGAGCTGCCACCCCAGCTTCCCACCCTGCCACGAGGGGGCAGCCTCTGCTCCGTGGCTAAAGGCCAGAAGAACGTTTGTCTTTAAACAGCCTCCTGAGCATGTTTCCGAGTTTGAGTTCCCACAATTCTTGGCTCCAGACAGATGGTACAAGTACAGCGATGTGGGGATAGGTGTGTGTGTGTTGGGGGGGGGGGGGGCTGGAGAGCTGGAGGGATGCAGACAAAGGCTGAAAACCCTGAAACACTGGGTGGTCTCTGTCCCACTGTCTCTGAGTGTGGGAAACTCAGCGAGGGCCTGGAAAGGGACTCGTTTGAAATGGGGACGATTGAAAGGTGATGACTCGGTTACCTTGATCGGGGGAGCTTTTGAGTCAGCTCTGAACACAGAAGGGTCCAGCGGGCGGGAGGACAGTCTGGGGCTGGTCACATACTCCCTCCTGTGCTCTGCTGCTCTATAAAGATTGATACAGGAAGGAAACAAAAGCCCTGCCCTGGCCAGGTATCTCAGGTGGTCAGAGCATCGTCCCCATACGCCATGGTTGCAGCTTGAACCCGGTTAGGGCACATCAGCCGAGGAATGCGTGAGTGAGAGGAACAGTACATCGGTGGTTCTCTCTCTCCCTTCCTCTCACTCTGAAATCAATAAATGAAGCAATGAAAAGATATTTTAAAAAAGAAAAAGCCCCAAGCTGCGGGGGAGGTTGGGTTAGCGTAAGGGCTTTGTGGTGCCTTGAGGAGCAGGCTGTGTGTGTGTGTGTGTGTGTGCGCACAGCTGGCCTCTGGCAGGTGCTTGGGCCCCACCAGGCACGCCTCTGGCTCCTCACTTGCCTGACCGAGAACAGGGAAACTCCTGTCCCCAGCCGAGGCGGAGGGCTTACCCAGTGCCCGGTGAGGGGCTTAGCTGGTGTGTGCAAGGGGCTCAGCTGCAGTGTTGTGGTTTCTTTTAGAAGGGCGTGGGGTTCAGAAACGTCATGGTGTTCCCAGCAGGCTAACAGAAAAAGGCTGCTTTGACAGGGACTGGAAGGGACCATGGAGACACGTTGGGTGGGAGACAGAGGACTCGGCTCTGGGGCAGAGGAGATGCCCCGGAGCTGACCCACCGGCTGTCCCAGCTGCCACTCTCCCTTTTCTCTGCTGCCCAGCCTCACTCCCTGCCCACTCCCTCCAGCTCTGTAAAGAGAAGCGGCTTCCGGGAAGATTAGCCGTCCCCGGGGCGTCTGCTCCTAGCGGGCGTGTTTCCCTCCAACAGGCACGAGGACATGCTGAAACGCAAGGCGGAGCTGGAGGAGATGGAGTCGGTCTTGAACACTGGGTGCGAGGCTCTGCAGCAGGAGCAGAGGACAAATGCCATCGCCAAGGGCGAGAACCAGAGGCTGCAGGAAGAGCTGGACAGGTTATTGCCACCTCTTCCATGCAGCAGCATGTGCTGGGATTTCATTAAGACCAACTTACTCAGTACCTGGTGAGCTAAGCTCAAATGAGTCTCCTGGTAATGGTGTGTTTTTACAAACCTCATCACATGAAGAGCTGATGGGAATCAGGTGAAAAGGACTCTAGTGGATGGCTGGAAGGGAAGGACTAGTGACACCTGGGATGCGCAATGTCTCCATGTGGATGACCTCACCTCCCACATTGTGATGGGACTGTGTCAGGCACAGGCACCTCCTCCCAACACCAGCCATCCCATGAAGAAGACAGTCATCCTCATCACTCCTGCATGCCCTCTTTGTGAGTTCACCTGCCCTCTGAATACACTTGTGACCCCCAAATCGGTCCCCGTGGTCCTTCGCGGATGCGCCCAGAGCGCGAGATCCTGGACTCCTGCTGCGCACGTTGGCAGCCGAGGGGAACTCAGCTGTGCCTCCTGCCTTGCTTCAAAGCTTTTCTCCTTGGGTGCTTTTTGGTGGTGATTTGCTTTGTGAAATGGCCCCAAATGGAGTGCTGAGTGCTCTCTAGTGTCCCCAAGGTCAAGGCTGTACTGGGCCTCATGGGAATGTACATGTGGTAGATGAGGTTCATTCCGGCACGAGTTACGGTGCTGTTGGCTCTAAGGATATTGCACAAGGCTCTTTGTGACCCAGGAAGCGTTGGGAACAGTGTCCTTGCACACTGCCCAGTGCTCGCAGTGACTGGACAGAACGTCATTGAGAGACGAGGAAACGGGCTGAGATTAAATCTCTTGTTCAGCCAGGGCTCCGGGTTGGTGGCACAGAGTGTGAGTCCAGGTCTTGTTTCAACCCAGAAGCATGACCAGAAAGCCTGCTTCGTGCCCTCAATCTTGTTTTTCTTTTGTTTCATTTTGTTACTACAATTTCCCATTGATTTTTAGATACAGTGGGAGTAGGGGAGGGAGGGAAGGAGGGAGAGAGAAACATCAATGTAGAGAGACGCATCGATTAGTTGCTTCCTGCACGACCCCCATCAGACCGGGGATCGAACCTGCTACTTAGCGTTGCCAGCTAGGGAGCAGGCCCCGACTGCTACGTCCTGTTTTATTTATGGTTTTTCTTCCAAGAAGCTGGACACCTCAACTTGGATGTGAGACTTTAAAATTTGTAAGTGTTGATAAATGACTTAATTTTTCTAGAAAACCTGTGCGGATCAAACTAGACACATCTGTGTTCATGTTGAGTCCGTGAGCCTCAGGGAATGTGAGCTTTCTGCTAGAAATCTTGCCCCAGGAAACCCAGTTGGGTAATACGATGATGATGGTGATGTCAGTGGGTTTACATAAAGCACAACATCTCATGTTTCATTTACCGCAGGAGTTGAAGTTAGAAGGAGGCTTGGAATTGGGGAGAAGAGCTGGGCATAGACAGAGTTTTTAAAAAAAATATTTTTCTTTATTGATTTTAGAGAAAGAGGAAGGGAGAAGGAGAGAGAAAGATCGATGAGAGAGAACACTGATTGGCTGCCTTCTTCACACCCCCCACTGGGGATCGGGCCCACACCCTGGGCTTGTGCCCTGACCTGGAATCGAACCAGTGACCTCTTGGTGCATGGGTCAGCACTCAACCACTAAACCATACTGGCCGGGCTAAACAGAAAGTTTTACAGCAAAAATGTTCTGATTCCATGTCTTTTTAAAGTATTTTAATGGAACCCTTTTTTCCCAAACAGGCTGATATGCCAAAACCTCATGCATGAGATTTTAACAGTGAGTCTGTTGACGCGGTGTTCGAGCCTTCCTGTTCTGTCTCCCCAGACCAAAGTGGGCACCAGGGCTAACCTCATAGAAGCCCAATAGACACTTTGAAAACTGCTGATTTTGTTCAAGCCCTCATTTACAAATGAGAAAAACAGAGGCCTGCCTGGCCAGTGTGGCTCAGTGGCTGAGTGTCGCCAGTTCAATTCTCTCTCAGGGCGCATGCCCAGGTTGTGGGCCCGATCCCCAGTGGGGGGCGTGCAGGAGGCGGCCAGTCGATGTTCTCTCTCATCGATGTTTCTATCCCTCTCTCCCTCTCCCTTCTTCTCTCTCTCAAACCAATAAAGAAAAAAAAACTTTTTAAAAAGAAAGAAAAACGGAGGCCCAGAGAGGGTGGGAGGTTAGGAAGGTGCACAGCTGGGACAGAGCCTGGCAGGGCCCCTGAGCCTTGGCCCTGTGGCTCTCCACCCCCAGGGTCAGTTTTGTACCAGCAGCTGAAGGGGGAGCACGAGGGGCTGCACACCCACATCCAGTGTCTGGAAACCTCACTGAATAGCTTGCAGCTGGAGCTAAGCCACCAGCAGGCCCATATCAACCAGATGAAGGAGCAGTACCAGAGCTTGGATTTCATCTGCGAGGTGAGATCTGGGGCGGTCGGCCTCAGGACTCCGGGCAGTGTACCCTGGGCTCAGTCAGGTTCTAATGGGTCCTGATTGGTATCAGTGCTCAAAGACTGTGTGTGAAGGTCACACAGAGCCCAAGGGGAAGCCAGAGGCATTCGAAGGGGATGAACACCATGGCTGGTAGGGATGTGCTAAGAATCACCTTTCCTCTGACCTGTGCTTTTTGCAGGGTTGGGCGGTGCATGGGAACAGCCTAGTCTTGTTTCATTTCCATCCTCTCAGCTGGGCACCTTGCTCTGTGCTTCCCTGTGTCATCTCTTTTACTTCTTATAGTAACCATGTGAGTGGGGGTTCCCAGCCTCATCCATCTTAAGTAGGGGGTTGGAACCCAGTTTGTCTGAAGCCAAAGCTTGAGACCTCCCTGCTGCACCAACCATGTGACATTCTAGAGCAGGAGTTGGCCAAGCCCAGCCCAGAATTCACATTTAGGCCCACCCATTTTTATAGATCTGTGAAGCAAGAATAGCTTTGAGAGGTGTTAATGGCTGGGAAACATCTAAAGAGAAACCATATTTGGTGGTGAGTAAAAATGATATAAAATTTGTCACTGTCCACGAGTAAAGTTTTGTTTGTGTGTTTAACACAGCCACACCCACCATGTACATTTTTCTCTGTCTACTTTCCTGCTGTACCAACAGGGCTGAATAGTTGTAAGAGAGACCACCGCCTAGCCTGGAAAGCCTGAAATATTTACCATCTGGCTCTTTCCAGAGACACTGTCCAACCGTCTCCAGAGCAGCGATGTCCAATAGAAATACAATGCAGGCCACCCCATGGGATACTAAATTTTCTAGTATCCACATTGAAAAGTAAAAGGGAATGGGTGGGGTTAATATTAATGACATATTTTCTATCTGTTATATCTAAAATATCACAGGCAACCCCGAAAGCCTACTAATGAGGTATTTTACATCATTTTTAAATTGCTATCAAAGTGCTCAGAATCTGGTGTATATTTTGCACGTGTGGTGCGTGTTAGCCGCCGGCTGCCTTCTCAGTGCTCAGCGGCCACACGTGGCTCGTGGCTGCTGGATTGGACGGTGCAGTGCAGAGGCTCCGCTGTCCCCGTGCCATCGGCCTTGGTCCTTCTGACTGGTGTGGATGACACCGAGACCATCTTTGTGCACGAGGCCTTTTTCTTCATTTAGAAGTAGATTCACAGCAGGGGACACACAGGGCCCCACGGTGTTTGAGACGTTGTTGATCTGTCTTTTAGCTGCTTTCTGGTCTCAAGGAGAACTTGGAAGAAGAAAATCATCACCTCCTGGGCCAGGTCAATCTGTTGAACCAGCAGAACCAGGCTCTTCTAGAGCAGAGCATGGAGAGCAAGGAGCAGTACCACGCTGAGCAGAAGCAGTACATGTAAGTGGTGTGGGCTGCCTGGCGCCTGACGGGGCCCCGGCGTCCAGCTCCAGGCCCAGACTGTGTCATCTCGGTAATCCCTGGGCACATTGGTGTCCCCAGGGCAAGGGGACAGACTGTCATACCAGCTTATCTTTCTATCCTTTTCCCTGGAAAGTTCTAGATTTCTGTAAGTTGGACAATTGGCTTTTGATTGCTTTTCGAGGACACTGCTCACTGCCAAATGCTTCTTAATCCACTTTTGGAATTAACTTGACTTAAAAAAATATGACATTGGCAAGAGGAAGAATTAAGTTGAAGGCTGAGCCCTTTTCTATCTGAGTCTGTTTTTCCTGAATGGGCTGGACAGTGCGTGTTGTTGACACACTGAGGTTGTCCTCCCTCTGCTGATAGTTCCTCTGTCCTGGCGGTGGCATAGGCCCTGCAAGGTGCAGAGAACCAGTGACCTGCTCACCAGGACCTGTAGGGTGAGGGGATGTGAGCAGACCTAGGTGCACACAGACAGATGTGGGGGAGCTCTGTGGAGGCGTAGAAGGAAGCGTGGTTGGGAGAGTTCTGCTGCGGACACGGATGGGGAGAAGGCCCACTCCTGATCACAGGAAGGACCGTCCCACCAGCACAGCACGGACGGGGAAGACCACCCTGGGCCCACAGTACATCTCCGATTGCTTGTCTTCCAAACCACAGTTTCCTCACCTGGGGTCTTCCTCCGGACCTCATTCCTGGCAGCTCCCTAGGCCCCGTAGACCAGCACCCCTTAAACTCTCACCTTCCAGTGAATCGACTCATTGGCCAGCCCAGGGCTCAGAAGCCTTCCAGGGCTGAGCCTTGCTTCCTCCAGCGCCCCCTCCTGGAGCTCCCCGCACCTTCCCTGCACCCAGACCACCCCATGCTTCACCTCCACGTCCCTTCCCCACGGGCTAGCCGCCTCCCCATCTGTGTCAGCAAGGAAACCAGGGGTTCCTGCAGTTGAGGCAGGAACAGACAGGAGCCGGGGCCCAGCGGGCAGCACAGTGTAGGTACCCCGCGTGCACCTCTCCAGGACAAGACCAAACAAAAGCGTGCTGTCTGCCTCACGAAGGCCAGACTCTCCCCCAGCCCAAGTTCAAGTGGTGTCCCTTTGGTCCTGTCTGTGTTTTTGAAAATGGCAACTGCTTTCCACCCTGTAGAAACCCAGAGATGTTGATTTACAACCTGGGTTTCTGGAGCCTTTGAAGAAACAATCAGAAGCTCCACCCCATCGAGGGCAGCACTGGGTCTGCAGGTCCCACAGTCAGTCCACCTGCACCTGTGCCCAGCCGCACCGCAGTCCCCACCACTCCCTCTCGTCTTCCCAGGCCCCTTTGCTCCATCTCCTCTGTCTGGCCCCCAAAAGGCTTTGCGTTTGCTTTCACGGAAGTGTTATCGGAAACCTGCTTTGGAATGGGTTGTGGTCAAAGGTCTGATTTACTAAACTGACTTTCATAACCTTGATGCCCATCTAACTCCCTGAGGGCAGAGCTCCCCACCACTAACAGTGTTGTCCCTCTGTACCCACAGGAGCTAGCCTCCCCCTATGTCTGCCCACAGTGCCCAGCATCCTGAACTGACCCGTCCAGAGAGCAATTGGGTTTCTGAGCTTCGGTTTTCAGATGGTTTGGGGTTTGCTCCCCTGAGATGTCGTACAGCCGATCCTAGGTGTTTCCCGGGCTCCTCGAGGCGGTAGGGTTCCTGGACCCACGTCGGATGCTTCCATCCACATATCCCAAGTCGGCCATCGTGATGGCCATGAGCATAGTTTTGTCTGAATCCCAGAAAAATACCAGCCCCTCTGGGCCAGGTCCCAGGCTGGCTGATGAGTATATTTGTGTGTTTTATTTAACACCTGATGGGATTTTCTTTCTCCTTTGTTTGCAGAGATAAATTAAATGCCTTACAAAGACATAAGGAGAAACTGGAGGAAAAAATAATGGAACAGTACAAGTTATATGATCCTGCTCCGAAGAAGTGAGTTGACCTAGGCTTCAGGAACTGAAACAGTTCTTGCTTATCTCGGGCAGGAAAGCCGAGCCCTCTGGAGCAGTGACCAGCATGCGGCGGAGCTGCCGCCGTGTGGGGCGCGTGCAGGTCCTCCCAGCACAGGAAGACCTGAGCATCCCTCAGACCCGCCCTCCGTGCTCAGGCTCGTCCTCGGAGGAGGGTGCACGTCTGCGCCTGGAGCCGGTCAGGGGCGGAGTCTGGTCTTAGAGCCACTCAAGCAGGAGTGTTAGGTTTTGTCTCAACACTTTGGGACCCGGAAAACCGTGTTTCTTTCTGGGAGGGAAGCTCGGGTCAGGCACCTGGGCCAGCCTGCATGGTCTTCAAACACGGGACCTTTCCGTTTTACCTATTCCTTCGGGTTCACGGGACCCCAGGGCGGTTTCACAGACATGTCCCCTTCACCAGAGAGCAGCAGCCGGTTGGGGGCTGGCTTGTTCCCTGAGATCGGCTGGCACCGTCCAGCAGGGCTTCCCCTGGTCCCAGGCCTGCGCCCCAGGTGCAGGCCCTTCAGATTGTCCTGTCCCAGCCCAGCCTTGAAGTCGAGTCACCACGAGTCGGGCGAGGCCTCTCTGTTGGTCACAGAACCACAGGCTCAGGCCCTCCCCCTCCGCAGCAGACAGCTGAGGCCGGTGGGACACGGAGGGACAGTGAGCGCAGAGCTGCTCGGGCAGGGCCGGGTCAGACCCGAGGGGCTGCTGGGGGTCAGGACGCCTCCATTTCCGGTCAGCTGCAACCCAGGACCTACCCTTCAGTCCACTCGGTTTACGTCCTCGGCCCACTCTGCCCTCCTCGACCCTCACCCAGACTCCTCAGTGCCCGGACGGTCACAGTCTGCCCGCCTAGTTCAGTCATCACTAACCCAGCGACAAATGCGGGGCCCCGGCTTCTCGACAACGGCCCGTTGATGGGAAATAGCCGACAAGCCGAGGTTAGATCAGCGGAGCAGCATGTCCTGGGTTTCGCACAGACTGTCGAGTTGAGAGCTGAATTTGAGGTTCTGTTTTCCCGGGGACTAGTGTGGGTTTCTGCCAGGAGGAAGGATTCTCCCGTCCCTGGTCTGTGCGAACTCACTGCAGACTGTGCACCCCGAGCCCAGATACGATGACTGAGGTGATGGCGAAGAGCACCATCATTCTGAACCCCAAATGGACAGCCATCTTCCCAGGCTGCTGGTGGAAATCCCAGCTCGCGTTAGGGCACCAGTGACCTGGGGGGGCAGGGCGGGTGGACTATGCCCTAAAACTCCTCTTCCAACTAGGAAAAACCACTGGATTGGAGCCAAAGCCTTAGTGAAATTCATGAAACCGAAGAAGGAGGGCGGCAGAGAGCACCTCAAGTCAGCCTCAGACAGCACGCCCTGGCCACTGGAGCCCTCAGACCAGGCCGTGCCCTCCACTTCTCAGCCTCTTAGGGCGCAGCTGGAGCCCCCCGAGGCCACCCCACCCTGCTCCCCCTGGGCAGAAGAGCGGGACACCCCCACCGCACCCTCGGCAAAAGGTAGGAGGGGTGCCTGGCTGCAGGTGGGAGGGAGGGGAGGATCTCAGGTCTCCCTGGGGGACAGGCCAGGAGCAAGGAGGCAGCGCGTGGATGGATGTGCACACGAGTGCAGGCGCCTGGAAGGGGCGTGCTCTGTACACGCACATCTGCCTCCTGAGGCGTGTCCACCGCCAAGTAGAAAATCGACGCCCACGTCAGTGCTTCCCAGTTTCGTCCCATAATTTAGTTACTTTAGCGTGAGGAGCCTCCCGCATCATGTAAGGGTGGCAGGGACTCGAACATCCGGAGCAGTGTCCACACAGGCTCCGCAGAGTCCAGCTCGGTCCTGCCATGTCTGTAGGAGATCCCAGCGCACGCAGCACGCACTGGACACAGGCAGGACCTTCAGCAAGACCTTGGTGGCGCTGATCTTTTCGTCACTTCGAAAAGCAGGTCCAATTTTCTTTCCCAACCTGAGCTGGCCTTGAGTCCCCCCAGCAGGGGTGCCTTGTCACTTAGGGCTGTCGTCTGGGGTTTGTCAGGGGTTCTGAAATGGATTTCTGGTTGCATAGGCTGTATGTATTTCATCGGATCTAAGAGGCTGTCAGACATCTGCACCACCGTGTGCACATCAAAAGAAAAAGTAAATCGGTTGTGCGAATTGCCTCCTCGCCCGGTGACTGACACCGTGAGGCTGCATTCCGATTGCAGAGATGTTAAGGTTTGGGGGCAAAGCAAGTGCCTCTTACATTGTATTAAGCAAAGCCCTTGCCTTAAACATGGTTTAATTGTCAAATTTAGTCTTAAATATTTTATAGATGGTTTATTCATAAACCTGCTAAACCTGCACCCTGTGAGGTGTCACGTGTATGAGGGACTCCAGGACTTTCTGACGACCAGGCCTGGCTCGAGACCCGGGCGCTGGCAGCCGCCTTCTGAGTGTGACACGCACAGGCCTTCCCGGAGACATGCGCTTCAGGACCTGTGTCCCTCACGAGGCCACAGTGACAGCGCACAGCGTGGGGTCTGCGCCCGCGCGCTCAGTCTGTACAGGAGAGGACGGGGCACACGCTCGCGTGCAGGGAGGTGGTGGGGAAGCTGGTTGGGAAGCGTTTGATCCAGAGAGCTCTGTGGCCTCGGCTGTTGTCCTGGCTACTTGAGTTTTTGACGTTTATCACCTCAACTTGCGTTATTGTCCAAGTTGACTCCAGGAACTGTAGTCAGCCTCCCTGAGTTAGCAAACCTTTCCGAGGAAGAAGTGCCGACAGGTGCAGACCAGTGCTGACCCACGACTGAGCAGGGGTGGGGACCGAGTGGCAGCAGCCACGGGACCGGGGCTCTGTCTGGGCGCAGCACCCCCTGCGCTGCTTGACCTGCTCCACCTCTCATTTCGTTCCGCCCACCACGTGAGGACAGCACCGCTCCTGCCCCCGGTCCAGAGCTGGGAAAGGGAGGCTTGAAGGGTAAGCCCTTGCCAGAGAGAAGTGTTAGAGCTGGACCCGAACCCAGGTCTGACAGAGTCCGGAGCCTGAGCTCTTCCCCCTGCGAGCACCGCCTGCAGCGGAAGCTGCTGTGGTCCCTGCAGGTGCTGAGCACACCTGGGCACCAGCGCTGACCGTCCCTCCCTCATCCTGCGGTGCGAGCTGTGGCCACCGGGTGGTGCTGTGGAGACAAATCAGGCAGGTTTTGCTCTGGACTTGAATCCTAAATCAGAAATTGGGTAAATCAGTTACGTTCATGTATAGGACATGTACAGACACTTAGACCAATTGTTTGTTCCTATAAAACTATTATTGGAAGGTCATAGAGTGTAGCTTTGGAGTAAAGGGTGCGTAGGCATCTACATGGGATTGATTCTTGATGTTGAGGGTATTTTGGTATCCTAGAGGTATTTTCATTATTTCCAAACTCATCCTGCCAGAAGAGGTTACTTTAGATGTACAAGAATTACCAGTGAAATGTTCAGGTAGACTGTTTCATTACAAAAGTCTAGAAACACAGCCTTCAGTGTTCCCAAGGTCTTTGAACAGGAGCAGGAGTTGTGTGTGAGCCGGGTTGTCAAGGAGCCTCTCATTAAAGTGGACGAATAGAACACGCCGGGTCCTCAGTTGATAAACAGTCTTGTGTAATAATGTAAACACTGAGGTTGAAACAGTCTGATGCCTGGTCCTGGAGCAGCACAGGGTCTCCTCCGGGTAAGGAAGCCTTGGGCGCAGGGAGGCGCTAAATGGATCACATGGGCCAGAGCGTGAAGGACTCACCAGGTCCCGACTCTGCTTGTGCCCTGGGCACTGTTTCCATCTCTCCGGCGGGACAGGATTCTGGTTTCCCAAGTACACTTAGCTAATGGAGCATCATTTGTTATTACTCATTTCATTTATTTGTTGTTGTTTTTTTTCCCCCTTCCTCTCTTGGGTTATCCCGGGGATAACAATTTAGCAACTCAACGAAAAAAGAATCCCCTTTTGAGAAGCAAAAGCAAGGATAAAGACAAGTCTACAACGGCCCACCCGACTTTCTTTAAACACATGCGGTTTTGGTCATCCCCTGATGTCCTGTCCTCCGCTAAAGAGCCCCTCCCTTCTTTAGAAAAGGGAGATTGCTGATCCTGTTCCTTTGTCCATGTCTTCATCCTGTTCCCCCTTCATTCCTGAAACTCAAACAAAAAAACAGTACCTCAAGGCCAGACGACCCATACTGAACCACCACCCCGCCTCCTGACCCCACTTCCAAGCCAAACTTAAAGTAGCCAACGTGGATTCTGATTTCAAAAGAGAAGATCAGTTATCACACCCTCTGGACCATCCTACAGCGCAGCACAGTTTTAGGGGAGCCTCGGGACATCCACACAGGTCCTTGGGCCAGGATGTCCGTAGTAAGTAAGTCCCTGGCCATGTGCTGCCCCCTCTCTCTTGCACCTGCAGGCTTACATGTCATGTCCGTGTGTGACGCAGAGCTCACCCGCTGTCGCTGTGCTTTCAAAATGTGCAGCCTCTGTCAAGTGAGGTTTTTTTAAAACTTATTTTTAAGCAGCTAAATTTAAACCTGCTGCCCCTTTTTTCCTGCTGCACCAAATGGTTGCCTTCTGCAGATACTGCCTTTTTTAGATGTGCTCTGCTTTGAAGAATTTTTTCCTCCACTCAACATTTTGAATAGTTGGATGGATGTTGCTGAGCCAGGGTTCGGCTCAGAGTGATGTTTTATGACCATGTGGGGGTTCTCTGACCTCTGAGATCCTGGTGAAAGACCAGCGTGGACAGACCGAGCATCGGCCCACAGTCACCGGCAGGGCGGGGCCGCCCGTCCACAGAGGCCTTCAGCTACTGCAGGGATTTCTCTGCAGCCAGCCTGGGCCATCGCCATGGTTTTTGCCATGTCTCTGTCACCTGTGATCCCTCACCTGTTGTGCCTTCATTGACTCACTGACTGGTTCCACTTGAATTTATTTAAAAGGAAAGATTATTTTCAGTACTATAAATGGAAAAAAACAGTACAGCATAAAACAAGGTCCCATAAAGTAGATCTGTAGCAGTTACACTGTTCAGGTCAGTGGGTGCGGCAGTGACTTCGTCTCATCACCTGCTCTGGTTCCCTGGTCCTCCAGCCCATCTCCCAGCATGCTTAGGGCACGCGCGGTTTCTCTGCCATCGCTGCTGCTGCTGACCTCCACCTGTCCTCTGCTCCTCATTTTAACTTCACCCGTGGACGCCTGTCCGATTCATTCCACCGGACCTGACTCTTGCTTCTCATCAAGGTTATCTTTCAAAATCCAAAATTTCCCTTGGTTTCAAGTCGTAAGACTTCGGTCCTTAAAACTTCACAGTGGGGCCCTGACTGATTTGGCTCAGTGGTTAAAACGTTGGCTCGCAGACCAGAGTCCAGGATTCAGTTCCCGCTAAGGGTGCATACCTTGGTTACAGTTTGTCCCCGGCCCTTGTTGGGGTTGTGTGGGTGGCAACCACTCAATGTGTGTCTCTCTCTGTCTCCCTCTCTTCCTCCCATTCTACCTGAAAAAACAAAAACAAAAAACTTCACAGTGGGTCTACACATTGAGTGGCTGAGGGGCAGGGGGTCAGGTCCTGGGAGGGGGCAGGGAGGGGCCTGAATCCCGACAGAGGGCGTGGCTCTGGGTCCACAGACCTTGGGCTGCCCGGAGGAGGTCCTGTGCAGAACATCATTGTCCTACTGCCCCGGGCCCTCCGACCGCATGAATTGTTAACTTGTGTTTGGAGAACCCATCCCCTAAGTGGTTGAAGGTCGTTTTGCTCTGTACCTCCCAATGTCTTTGTTTTTTAAGTAAGGATTTTATTTGACTTTGACAAGAGTATATGTTCACCATAGAAAATTCGGAGATTGCAGAAAAGCACAAAATTCAAGGTGAAAACCATTCCTGCGGTCGGTGCACCACGCAGAGACGAGGACTCCTTAAACACATCACTGTGAGGGCGGCAGTATCTTCTCTGCAGTGAGGAAGCCAGTTGGTGGGGTGCACACCTGGACCTGGGGGCCTTCTCTCCAGGCTCAGTGGTCCTGAGCAGATGTCTGCGGGGTCTGTCTAAATCAGGGATTTGAATGACACATAGTGTTACCCAGCAGGTGTGCCCCGGGGCTCATGTGTTGGACTTTTCCTGACATTTTGTTGAGCCTCTTGAGTCTGTCCTTTGCTTTCTCCCAGCTGTGCAGACCCCAGCCCGGGAGGCGCGCAGCCCAGCTTCTGTCCCTGTGGTCCGTGTGCCCTGCGGCCTCTGCTTCTAGGCCTCGGCGTGGCAGCCCCACCTTGGCACGGGGTTCTGCAGCCCCATTTCTCAATGTCTTTCTCTGTCCCAGGCCCTGGGGACCTAAAACCGAAGCGAGGATCCCCACACAGGGGCAGCCTTGACCACAGGGATGTCTCTGTTGACCCAGCCACGAAGGCCTGGCCGTCAGAGCTGGGCTCCCGGACCTGTTCATCCAGCTCCACCCCCACGTCCCGGCACCCAGGAGGCCGCAGCAAAGGTGAGTCACAGGCCCCCAGAACGGAGAGGGAAGAGCACCGGGCCGGGTCCTTCTCAAAGGCTCTGGCTCGCAGGCAGGAGGGGTCGCGAACTGAGAGGTGGTAGCACGGTGGCCGCGCTGGGACAGGCTTTGGCATCACAGACAGGTTCAGACCCCAGCTCTGCCACAGCTGGGTGACTTTGGGGCCGGTCCCAGGCCGCCGGTGGGAAAGGCCTGGAGCCCACCACCGCTGCGCAGGGATTGGTGGCAACTAGTAGCTCCGCAACGGAGGCGAACTGGAGTTTGGGCTAAAATAGGCAACGTTGGCGGTTTATTCTCCAGGGGGCAGACTTGGCAGGGTCTTGGATGTGGAGGTTGGTTGACTGAGTGGAGGGCAAGAGCCTGGCTCAGCTTCAGGACCTGGTCCCCCTGTTTACAAAAGAGCCACACCCCTGGGAGAAGATGAGTTGAGTGACGCAGGGCAGCCCGTCACCCTTCTGCGCTCCTGGCCAGACCCTGCACAGGCGGCGTCTCGCCGCTGGATGTGAAGGGAACGGTGCCGTGTGCCGGAGGCAGACCTGCCCAGGGGCTGTGGGCCGTCAGGAGTCTGCCCGGCTCCCAGGCTCCGCAGCGCAGTGGACTCCGGACTGTTTCTGGCTGGCAGTTGCTGGTACAGGGTTCAGTCCCTAGGGAAGCCAGCATCCTTCCTCAGGGGCTGGATTCTTTCCTTTTCCTCCCTCCGGCCACCTGAAGGGCACAGCTCACATGTCCTTCCGTCCTCCAGGAGCTGGACACTACCACAGCTCAGGTGCTTGGCAAGAGTCAGAAGTGGCCATCTGGCGAAAGGCCCAGGCTTCCCCGTGGGTGTTCCAGGTCCCCTGACTCACCGGCCTCCTTTTCTCCGTAGGCTATAATTCGGACGACGGCCTCTGTGAGCCATCCCTGGAGCTCGAGTTCACCAGCCACAGGCAGCACGGTGAGTGGTCCGTGCATTGTGCCCTTCAGCCTGGGTCCTCAGACCTGCTTTCGTCAACGGTACTTTCCCTTCAAGCGAAGTCCTCTGTGGACGCCCAGCACACAAGAGGTGAAAGTGGAGTTGTTATGTTGAAGGGGGAATGGGGGACTCACAGTTCCTTAGCACTCCTTGCCTGCCCTCCCTGGGGGCCTGAGCATGCAGCATCTGCTTACACACCTCCAGTGATGGGGAAGTCACTGCCTATCAAGTGTCCTGCTCCTGGGTGCTCTGACCCCTTACTTTGAGGACCCATGTGGAGAGCATTGATTGCAGGCAGGTCTCACTTCCTCACCTGGATTTTAGTTGCCCAGAGTAGATCCTCCGGGGGAGAGTCTAGAGAGTCCGGAGTCTGTCCTTCCTGAAGCCATTCCCCGAACTTGGGCAGAATCCCTTTGTTTCGTAACTACTTTCCGATTGGATGGTTCGGTTTGGGCTGTGCTTGGTCATCGGCACTTTAGGTAAAATGCTATCATTTCCTTTCAGTGTCCCGGCCAGGAAGCTTAGGGAGCAGTCGGAACGCGTCCAGTGATAGCTCACCCCTTAACCTGAAGGGTAAGTCGTCTCCTTCTGTGCCTTTCCAGTGGACTCAGATCTGCGGCTCTGGGCTTTGTCATCTGTATAATTTAAAACGCAATCAGCAAGGTTCCTAGAAACGTTTGCATTTGCATTCACAGGGCCTCCTCTTGCAGCCTCAAGCTCAGGCCTGGGAGCTTTAACAGGTTTGGGTTCAAATCCCTGCTCCTCCCCTGACCCGCTCTGGGCACCCGGCCGAGCCGCCCGTCCTCTGATTATGAGTTCCTTCAGCTCCAGGGTGGGGGCGGTACCAGTGGTTCCGGTTTACAGTGGCCAGAGGACACAGTGTATGATCGGAGTCCTTTACAAGGTTATAGATTGTGTGATGGTGCAGAATGTGGTGTCTGCCCTGTCCCCGGAGCTAGCCAGGGTGGTACCTTACAGCTACTGATGCTTTAAGCTCTAATAGAACCGTTCCACTTTGATCCCGTGATTTTGTTTTTAAGTGCCAGTGTGAGATTCTAAAGAATTCCAGCATGTCCTTGACATCCCAAGTGCCAGCCCGGGAGGAGTGTGCTGGGTTCCCGGGCAGGGTTCCCTCCGCTCAGGGAGCCAGAGGCAGCGCAGAACCCCCTGGAGGCAGGCGAGCGAGTCGGAGACTGATGTGTGTTCCTCTGTGTCACCTCACCCTGACCCCAGGCTCCTCGGACCAGCTCCACCCCAGGTCCGACAGCTTCAGCAGTGAAGACTTGATCCCCAGTAGGGACACGGGCGCTCTTCCTCGGGATGCCAACACCCTAGGACGCCCTGCCCTCGGCCGCCACGAGTACCCGCCACCCCGGAACGGGCCGCTCCTCCAGGAGGACATCCAGAAGAGGGGTGTGGCCCAGCCACAGGCCGGTGTACAGCCCTGCGCCTCCCTGAGCAGCGAGATGGTCACCTTGGAGGAGTTCCTGCAGGAGAGCAACCGGGACTCCCCAACACCTGTGAGTGGCCCCAGAGGACTCTCTTTTCTCACTGTCTCAGATGGACCTGGGCCAGAGGCAGAGACCTTGCCAGTAAAGTCACAGAGGGGGCTGGGGCTGGGGCTGGGGCTGGGGCTGGGGCTGGTGCAGTCTAGCTGCAGAGCTGGCTTGGATGGGGGAGTGTACCCACTAGCCAGAAAACCACCATGTGCTGCATCGGCCCAGACCCGGGAGGCTGTTTCCTCCATCTGTGAAGTGTGTTGCCAACATGGACGGTAGTGGTGTGTGCCCAACCCTGGAGCTTCTCTGGAGGTGTGGCCAGCACCCACTTGCAGAGTTGGGGTCTCCCACTAGGTCTGCGGCGGCTCTGGGTCTTCACCAGCAGGTTGGCAGGTGTCCTGGAAGGGGCCAGCTAGGAAGAACCTCAGGCCGTACCGTCTCTGTTGGAACTGCCCAACTCTGCCGCGTGGGCTGGGGGCAGACAGGCCGTCTGCCGGTGCACGGGCACAGCTGTGCTCCAGCAACACTGGACTTATGGGTGCTGGGATTTCATTTCATCGTTTTCACGAGCTCACAGGCCATACAGAACCGAGTGGCCAGTGGGAGTTGGCCGGCAGCTCGAGTTTGCTGAGCTGTGTCCTGCAGCTCTGAGCCCTGAACGTCAGGCCTGTTAGGAAACCCTCCAGGTCCCAGTTTAGCTTTGTGAGCTGCATGTGCACCTTTACACAGTCTGTCCGAGGTCCCTAGTGAGCTGTCGTCATTGCACCGGTGGAGGACGCTGTCTCACATTGAGACCTTTGAAGGATTTTTAGTGCTCCGGTGATTCTCATTCCCCTTAAACATACACAGTTGAACTTTCTCTAGCCACACGGTAAATTCTGTGAACTGTGTCAGTAGAGCCCAGAGGCAGAGAGAATACAAAGTATTTATTCAGTACGTGGCTATTGAGAGGTGCTGTGTGTTAGGCAGCACGCGTGATGCCTGCTCTCAAAATAACAAAGTAAACCAGTTCGTCAGCGAGTTCTGTCACATACTTGCCAGGTGCCTCGTCCGTGGTTGGCCCTGGAAGGAAATACACAACACGGTCTCTGCCTCCCCGTCACTCCCGTTTCCGTCCACAAAGCACTCTGTGCCGGGACCCGAGACAAACGGAAGCCCTGCCCTCCTCCAGGGTCCCGGTCTGATGCTCGGCCTGAGCTCTGGCCTGCATCACGCTCCCCGGGGCTGCTGGACACCGGCTGGGCCCCGGGGTCCTGACTCAGGAGCTCTGAGGTCGGGTCCGGAGAATCTGCATACTTCCACCTTCCCAGATGGTGCCTTGTCCTTTTCAGCCTAAATGAGACCAAAATAATCTCACTGCAGAAGTTTGTTGTGGAAGCTGATGCTCCACTCCTGAGAACCACCCCCACCTCCCCGCATCTTCCCAGCGTGTTCACCCCACTCACCTGACTCCCCTCGCCTGAGCAGCCTGGAGAAGTGGAAGTCACCGCGGTGCCCCCCACGCCCCCACTCCCTCCGTGTTCATGCTGGGGGGATGTCACAGTGGCCGTCGGGGTGGCCAGAGAGGGGGCTCGTGAAGATGGTGTCAGAGGGGTGGAAAAGTAGAGAAGAGCCCAGTGATGTGGAAGACAGCTGCAGAGCAGACAGCCGTGGGTTCAGATCCCGTCTGCCTTCTCCAGATGTGGGGCCTGCTTAGCTCTAAACCGCAGTTGCTCAGCCTGTTCGAGGTTGTGGTAACAGAACCTTGCGAGGTTGCTTGGAGAACTGAACGAGTTTGGGGTTTGTTCGGCTGTTGCAGTGACACCTGGGTTTCTAGCCCAGGGCTGGCGGGGGAGCATTGATAGCGGGGCCTGCTGTGTGCACGAGCACAGGTCTCACTGCCAACGCCCGGGACCTGTGACTCTGACTGACGTGGAAACAGCCGACGTGTCTCCGGGGCCCGGAGCGTTGGCAGGTGCAGATGGCCCCTGGGCCGCTGCTCCCTGCCACGGTCCGCTGGCCGGGGTCTGCTCCCTCCGCGGGTGACCCCTGCCGCTCATCCTCCCAGGAGCTCCTCCCTTCCCTGGGCGGTGTCTGTCAGCTCGAGACACCTCCACCTGGCTCCTCCAGGCGGGCGCTGCCGGCAGAGGCCGCAGTTCCCAGAGCAGGGTCAGACCCTGGCCTCCGGCGGCTCTGCCCACCCCAGCACGGGGGGAGAGGAGACTGGCTCCTCCGGGGGGATGCCTAGCCCGGGCACAGCTGCTGGGCCGGGTGGCCGTCCCCTGGGCACCCTTGAGTCCCCTCGGGGGCCCGCCACCCCTTTCCCAGGTCCAGAGAAACGTCTTGGTGGCAGCGAGGACTTGGGGTGCGGTCGGTCTGGCTTTTCAGGAGCTGCTGGCCTGGTCCCTCCTGGTGGCCTGAGGCAGAGCCCTCTCGAGGCGTCTGAGCCGGTGCTGAGAGGGACGAGGCCGGTCCGCCCGGCCCGGCTCAGCCCCGCTCCGCTGGTGGGTTGAGGCACATACTGGACCAGGCTGTGGGCAGCTCCAGCCCCGGCCTTCCCGTGGATGGGTTTGTGGAAAGCCCTTCCCCCTGGGTCTGTGCCCCTCCTGGGGAAGTTAGGGGGCTGCCTGAGTGACGGCTGGCGGTTCTCCCTGATTGTGTGTTGCCCCGGCCCCGCCACCCTGACCAAGGGCAGTGTGTGTGGTGGGGGTGACACTGGCCATGAGAAGGCCGAGCAGGAGCGAAGCTCTAGTCCTGGCCATGTGGCTGCCCAGGGGTGTCCTGGGAGGCAGAGGGCTCTCCGAGGACCCTCCTGGCCCTCACTCCCACCTCCCTTCTCTGCAGGACGCTCCCCGTTGCCGGGATGACCTGCTGAGCGACTACTTCAGGAAGGCCAGCGATCTGCCCACCCCGACCCCCGGAGGCCAGCCGGGACCACCCGCCAGGAAGGAAGGGGCCCGGGTGCCCGTCCACTCTGTGGCCCCCGCCTTCAAGCTGGCTGTGAGCACCTCCGAGGGGAAGCTGCTGGCGCCCGGGCAGTACGCGAAGCCCAACTTCAGGCCTGCTGAGGCCGCAGCCGCTCCCAGTGCCCCCCTGAGGCAGGCCCTGTCCCCCCAGACCCTCTCGGGGCAGACCCGGCAGGCGCCGGCGGCCCCCACGGCCCATGTCCCTGCCAGCGGGGCTGCGGCCCTGACCCGCGCCTTCAGCCTGGCCTCCGCCCACCTGCTGCGGGCCAGCAGGCCGGAGGCCTTCAGACAGGAGTCTCCTCAGAACCCTGGGCATTCCGAGAACTCGGGGGGCAGAGAAACCCACCCCCTGCAAAGCTCCACACCCCCCAGCTCCCACAGCCTGGCCCAGGAGAGGACCCCCCTCGTGGGAAAGCTTGGTGGCTCCTGTCAGGGCCCAGGGCCCCGAAGCCGGCCACTGGACATGAGGCGCTTCTCACTGGCTCCCCCAAAGGAGGAGAGAGCCCCCCTGCAGCAGCCCGCCCCGGCCCCGGCCCCGGCCCTGGAAGGGGGCGGCAGCTCCCAGCTCCAGCACCTCGCGCCTGCTGCAGCCCCAGCCGCCAGGACCAAGCCCCAGACCCCCCAACACTCAGGGGAAGCGGCCACCGTTGCCCCTGGCCGGGTGGGGCACAGCCTCTCACAGGGGGACAGGGTCCCAGGACAGGGCCACCGAGAGGGCTGCCCTGCCAAGAGCCCTGGCAGGTCTCCAGACGTGGCTCCCCACGCCCGCCGGGCTCCTGAGGACTCCAGTCCTGGGGACAGCTCAAAGAGCACGCCCGTGTCCCCAGAGCCGGGTGGGGACCAGCAGACTGTGTGGTACGAGTATGGCTGTGTGTGACCGTCGCCTGGACCGGCAGCTCCGAACCTTACACTACTGACGCGCCTTCTGAGGACGATGCCCCCTCGGGGCTGCCTGTGGAGTTGGGAGCGGTTCTAGAATGAGGGGCGGGGCTCCCCTGCATTTCTTCCATTTGTTCTGTAAGGAAACACGTGCCCAGCCCACAGGCCCCCCCGGTGTGTGCCGAGAATCTGCAGCTCCAGCACCGGGAAGCTTTGCACACATGCGCTTTGGCCGGGGGTGCTCATCACCCAGGACAGATCTGACTGCCCAGGGCAGACGCTCCGGGGTGCCCTGAGAACACGCGTCCGCACCGGGTTGGCCTCCACGACGGCGTGTGCGAGTGTGCGTGGCTGATGCTCACACGCTCACAGGGCTCCGCCCTCGTGGGGCTGGAAACGCCTCCCTCTCCCAGAAGCCATTGAGCCTAGGAGATGCCGGACCAGCCACACTACACAGATCTTGAGGGTCTGGGTGGACCCTCCAGTCTCGCTCACCGTTAACCAGAGTGTGCTGAGCCAGTCTGGGGTCTCGTGTACTTCCCTTCACCCCAGGGCAAGGTGACCTCCCAGGCAGGTGGCCTCAGGCCATTGCCTCGCCTGCAGCTGGCTCCTGGGGCCACACAGGACCTGGCTTCCTGGCCCCTTTTCTACAAACCCTGGATCTGCCAGGCCTGGGAGAAGGGCAGAGAGAAGCCCTGCCCAGCCCCCCTGCCAGCGAGCATCCTGGACGGAGGGGAGCGTGTGCGAGAGGGAGGGGACCCCTGATTTGTAATGTGGCTGCAGCACCCCAGGGTCCCCCATTGCGGATGAGATGTTGACTTATTATTCCTCAATAACTTCTTGAAATAGAAACAAAATTTATTTTAATATATTACGTATTCAGGGTGTCCTAGAAAAATGTAGACACATTTAATAGTTTAATTCTCCTTTTCAGGTTTAACTGATGTGTTATAATGGGTGAAGTCAGACTAAGCTCTGAACAAAGGAAATTTATCGACTAGACTTTTTTATGGGGATACATAAGGGGAAGTTTACGGTACAAACCCGGCAACTATCAAAAAATTAAGGGCAGCTATTGAAAGAGAACGCACAGTTAGCGATTTTTGATGTTTGCTGTTCGTTACTTCACAATACACCTCCCTGTGCGTCATTGACCTTGGACACGGGGTAGGGGCCTCCGCGGTGGGAAGGAGTCAGGACACGTGACCAGAAGGGAGAGAAGGGGGCTCTCCGAGCTGTGGACCCGTCTGCCCTCTCTCCCATGTGGGAGTTGCGAGGTGCCCACGGAGAGTCCCAAGAGGCCTGTCTGTGCTCTGAGATCCCACCTTCTCGTACTTCCTGGTCACGTGTCCTGACTTCTTTCCCAGGCTCAGACCCCGGCCCACGTCTCCAGGGTCAATGACGCAGGGGGGGTGCAGTGAAGCAACCAACAGCAAACGTCAAGAATCGCTTCGGGGTTTGCGCGCGTTCTCGTCCGGTAGCGGCCCCCCTTTGTGGGCTGTTGCTGGTTTTGTACCCTAGACTTTATCTCATGTGTCCCCATAACAAAGTCTAGCGGATTCATGAAGCTTTGTTCAAGTCTTAGTCTGGCTTCACCCATTGTTTCAAACCTAAACAGGAGAGAAAACCGAGTTATCATTGCTAAGGATGTGTCCATGCGTGAGGACACCGTGTGTATGTGCACACACTCACGTGCACTGTGCTCTGAGGGACCCCCTATTCACGTTCCGTGGGGTCATCCTCTCCCATGGGGCGGCTCACCTGCTCCTCTGGGCGTGGCCAGCGCCTGACCGTTTGTTTCCTGTCTAGTGAAGGTGCTCTTCCCGGGATGCGCTGCACCTGGTGACCTTGGTGTTGCAGAGATGGTTCCTTTGGAGTTACTATGCCGAGAAAGAAATGGAAGGTTGACACAGTGGATTTCAGGAGGGCTTTGGGGTGTGTTAAATAGACTGGTTCTGGAACACAGGGTGGAACTGTAATAAAATGAGTTGGAGGTGAACTGAGTCCTAGTTTTCCTTACGGCTCGTCACTGGCGGCATTTTTGGGGCGTCGGGCTCCCCGCGCCAGCCCCCAGGCTCTTGGAACCCACAGCACCCTCGGCAGGAGGCCAGAGAAAGTGAAAGCGAGGTTTTCCTGTTTACCATGCAACAGCTCTTCACAGACTTGCGTTTATTTTAAGTCCATGCAGTTGAATCCATGCTGATAGGGAATTACACCACCGCCGGAGCTCAGCGTAGAGTGGCCCTTGGGTGTTTGCCAGGCTGCTCCCCGAGGAAGGCCACACCCGCAGCCTAGGCCTTGGAGGCCTCAGACCAGATGCTTAAAGGAGAGGGCGGGGGAGGATGTAAATATCTCCAGCTGCCCAGTCCTCTAGTGGCTGTCTGTCCAGCAGCAGCTTCCTGTCCCCTTCCTCCCTCACCGAAGCCCTTCTGTGAGTCTCCTCTTGCCTCCTTTCCACTCCTTCCCCAGGGGCCTGCCGCCGCCATGGCCGCCACTCGGCAGGGCCTGCGCCCCGGTGCTTTGAGCTGACCGGCAGCTGTACCCAGGCTTCGTCCCCAGGCGTTGGCAGGACCTGACACCTGCCGGTCGGTCCCAGGAGCTCGCAGAACTCTGTCACGTGATTCTCTCCCCTTTGACAGCTCTCCTGTGCTCGAACTCGCCCGTTCCTCCGTCTTTCACCCATTCCTTCCACAAACCCCCTGAAAGTCTCCTGTGCCAACTCCCAGGCTCCCCCTTCGAGGCACGTCCCCCGCCCCTCTTCAGGGCTGACCCCCCCTGCTCCCCCCTGCGGCGCTGACCTCTCCTGAGCTGCAGGCCTGACGGCAGCTGCCTGTTAGCCCCCTGCCTGTCTGCAGGCTTCCCCGACTCCCTGTCACCGCTGGGCTCCCTGCTGGATCCAGACCCCAGCTGTCAATCACAGAAGCCAAAGCCTTGATGCAGGCTTGACCCCGCCTCTCTCCACAGTGTGCCTGGAATCTGCCCCCCCCCCTTAGCTAACTGTCCCCGGTTCTAGGTCACACACACCCCTGACCCTGGGCCTTGGCAGGGGCTTGTCAGCTGGTCCACCAGCCTCATGACTTCTCAGCCCTCGTGGCACCTCTCGGGCGTTCACCCCAGGTGACCTTCCTTTGTGAACATTCCCCTCCCCCCCACACCAGGTCCACCCATCCCTTTGCGGTCCAGGTTCCCTATGTGGTTCACCTGGGGTGTACCCAACCCTCTGTCACCCCCTCCTCCTGCCCAGACAACTCATACACGTCCACAGCTTTAATTACCATCTTCCCGGAAGGCTGCAAACACCTCTAGCTCCAGCCTCTCCTGGGAACCTCCATTCCAGGTCCAGGAAGCTCGGATGTCCCAACGTCACCTCAAGATCTCAGCACACAGTTCACCCCCCCCCCAAGCCTCTGTGTTCCTCATCCCATCACCTCTGTCCCTACATGCAGACCATCGGATGTCCCAACGTCACCTCAACTCAAGATGCTCAGCACACAGTTCACCCCCCCCAAGCCTCTGTGTTCCTCATCCCATCACCTCTGTCCCTACATGCAGACCATCGGATGTCCCAACGTCACCTCAAGATGCTCAGCACACAGTTCACCCCCCCCAAGCCTCTGTGTTCCTCATCCCATCACCTCTGTCCCTACATGCAGACCATCGGATGTCCCAACGTCACCTCAAGATCTCAGCACACAGTTCACCCCCCCCCCAAGCCTCTGTGTTCCTCATCCCATCACCTCTGTCCCTACATGCAGACCATCGGATGTCCCAACGTCACCTCAACTCAAGATGCTCAGCACACAGTTCACCCCCCCCCAAGCCTCTGTGTTCCTCATCCCATCACCTCTGTCCCTACATGCAGACCATCGGATGTCCCAACGTCACCTCAACTCAAGATGCTCAGCACACAGTTCACCCCCCCCCCAAGCCTCTGTGTTCCTCATCCCATCACCTCTGTCCCTACATGCAGACCATCGGATGTCCCAACGTCACCTCAACTCAAGATGCTCAGCACACAGTTCACCCCCCCCAAGCCTCTGTGTTCCTCATCCCATCACCTCTGTCCCTACATGCAGACCATCGGATGTCCCAACGTCACCTCAAGATGCTCAGCACACAGTTCACCCCCCCCCAAGCCTCTGTGTTCCTCATCCCATCACCTCTGTCCCTACATGCAGACCATCGGATGTCCCAACGTCACCTCAAGATCTCAGCACACAGTTCACCCCCCCCAAGCCTCTGTGTTCCTCATCCCATCACCTCTGTCCCTACATGCAGACCATCGGATGTCCCAACGTCACCTCAACTCAAGATGCTCAGCACACAGTTCACCCCCCCCCAAGCCTCTGTGTTCCTCATCCCATCACCTCTGTCCCTACATGCAGACCATCGGATGTCCCAACGTCACCTCAACTCAAGATGCTCAGCACACAGTTCACCCCCCCCCCCCAAGCCTCTGTGTTCCTCATCCCATCACCTCTGTCCCTACATGCAGACCATCGGATGTCCCAACGTCACCTCAACTCAAGATGCTCAGCACACAGTTCACCCCCCCCCAAGCCTCTGTGTTCCTCATCCCATCACCTCTGTCCCTACATGCAGACCATCGGATGTCCCAACGTCACCTCAACTCAAGATGCTCAGCACACAGTTCACCCCCCCCCAAGCCTCTGTGTTCCTCATCCCATCACCTCTGTCCCTACATGCAGACCATCGGATGTCCCAACGTCACCTCAACTCAAGATGCTCAGCACACAGTTCACCCCCCCCAAGCCTCTGTGTTCCTCATCCCATCACCTCTGTCCCTACATGCAGACCATCGGATGTCCCAACGTCACCTCAAGATGCTCAGCACACAGTTCACCCCCCCCCAAGCCTCTGTGTTCCTCATCCCATCACCTCTGTCCCTACATGCAGACCATCGGATGTCCCAACGTCACCTCAAGATCTCAGCACACAGTTCACCCCCCCCCAAGCCTCTGTGTTCCTCATCCCATCACCTCTGTCCCTACATGCAGACCATCGGATGTCCCAACGTCACCTCAACTCAAGATGCTCAGCACACAGTTCACCCCCCCCCCCAAGCCTCTGTGTTCCTCATCCCATCACCTCTGTCCCTACATGCAGACCATCGGATGTCCCAACGTCACCTCAACTCAAGATGCTCAGCACACAGTTCACCCCCCCCCCAAGCCTCTGTGTTCCTCATCCCATCACCTCTGTCCCTACATGCAGACCATCGGATGTCCCAACGTCACCTCAACTCAAGATGCTCAGCACACAGTTCACCCCCCCCAAGCCTCTGTGTTCCTCATCCCATCACCTCTGTCCCTACATGCAGACCATCGGATGTCCCAACGTCACCTCAAGATGCTCAGCACACAGTTCACCCCCCCCCCAAGCCTCTGTGTTCCTCATCCCATCACCTCTGTCCCTACATGCAGACCATCGGATGTCCCAACGTCACCTCAAGATCTCAGCACACAGTTCACCCCCCCCCAAGCCTCTGTGTTCCTCATCCCATCACCTCTGTCCCTACATGCAGACCATCGGATGTCCCAACGTCACCTCAACTCAAGATGCTCAGCACACAGTTCACCCCCCCCCAAGCCTCTGTGTTCCTCATCCCATCACCTCTGTCCCTACATGCAGACCATCAGATGTCCCAACGTCACCTCAACTCAAGATGCTCAGCACACAGTTCACCCCCCCCCAAGCCTCTGTGTTCCTCATCCCATCACCTCTGTCCCTACATGCAGACCATCGGATGTCCCAACGTCACCTCAACTCAAGATGCTCAGCACACAGTTCACCCCCCCCCCAAGCCTCTGTGTTCCTCATCCCATCACCTCTGTCCCTACATGCAGACCATCGGATGTCCCAACGTCACCTCAACTCAAGATGCTCAGCACACAGTTCACCCCCCCCAAGCCTCTGTGTTCCTCATCCCATCACCTCTGTCCCTACATGCAGACCATCGGATGTCCCAACGTCACCTCAACTCAAGATGCTCAGCACACAGTTCACCCCCCCCCAAGCCTCTGTGTTCCTCATCCCATCACATCTGTCCCTACATGCAGACCATCGGATGTCCCAACGTCACCTCAAGATCTCAGCACACAGTTCACCCCCCCCCAAGCCTCTGTGTTCCTCATCCCATCACCTCTGTCCCTACATGCAGACCATCGGATGTCCCAACGTCACCTCAACTCAAGATGCTCAGCACACAGTTCACCCCCCCCCCAAGCCTCTGTGTTCCTCATCCCATCACCTCTGTCCCTACATGCAGACCACGTGTGGCATCACCCTCTTCCCTGTGTCCCATCCATCACTCTCTCAGCTGGTTCCAAGTCTGACGCCTCACGAACATACCCAGCCAACCCCAGGTGGTGGCCCCCCTGGGGGTCCCCACAGTACTGCAGACTATGGGGTCCT